AAGATGTCAAAATAGAATCATATAACCATGTTTTGTGTTCTTTTATGTCAAAAACAGAAAAAACGATGAAACAGAGCGTTTTTTTCAACACTTCGACCTAATACTGTAGACTAAGAAAGGCTTGATCTCATGAGTGAGGTACATGAGTAGACTCAATTTTTCACGCTGATTCCGAATATGACCTCAAAATCAAAAACAAAGTTGGAGAACACGACCGGAAATTTAAAATATCTTATTACGTACCTGAAATTTACTTAATTTAGTAAATTAAAATTTGCTGTATCAGTATTTTAGGCGTTTCTAATATAAGTGCGAGTATTTACCTCACTGTAGACGCTTTTGAGCTGTGCAGAACCGTTGGTCACTGTTGTTGAAATTTTAATCAATTAATTAATTATTTGAGAAATTTTAATATTATCAGGAAACTCTTGAAATCGAGTTAAAGACATTGGGAACGAACAATCGAAGTGTTGCAACAACGTACAACCAGATTAGTAGAGTTTACAATGATCAAGGCGATTATTCCCAAACATTGAAATATTTTCAGCAAACTCTTGAAATCAACTTAAACACTTTGGGAGCGAACCATCCAAGTGTTGCAACAACGTACAACAACATTGGACTACTTTACACCCATCAAGGCTATTATTCTCAAGCATTGAAATATTATCAGCAAACTCTAGAAATCGAGTTGAAGACATTGGGACTGAACCATCCAAGTGTTGTAAGAACGTTCAACAACATTGGTGTACTTAGGGCATACCAAGAGTAGTGATTTTGACACTTTAATATCGTATAATAAGCTTTAAGAAATTTCTCTCTATATAGTCTGATAGAGAAAAGAACGCTCTATTTTTCTATGCTATTTGATCATATTTCAACTAAAGTTATAATAACGAAATTCCTCTAAGAGCTGTTTTATCGCATGTCTCACGGTTATACTGATGCTCATTTCAAAAAAACTGAATGAGTATTTTTTGAATAACTTTTGATAGAAACAAGACAGAGAGCTGCGGTTTTCACCATTGGAAAGAGCAGATAAAGATGCATCGAAGTTAGAAAATTGAATACAAATACTTCAGAAACCAATATTACAAAAACTTATACTACATGATTCGATGCATCTTCATCTGCTCTTTCCAATGGTGAAAAACGCAGTTCTCAGAACTGCGCAACGATAGGCTATCGTGTTTCTATCAAAAATTATTCGAAAAATACTTACTAGCATTGCTGTAACCGTGAAACATGCGAAAAAACAGCTCTTAGAGGAATTTTCGTTATTATAACTTTAGTTGAAATATGATCAAATAGCATAGAAAAATAGAGCATTCTTTTCTCTATCAGACTATATAGAGAGAAATTTCTTAAAGCGTATTATACGATATTAAAGTGTCAAAATCACTACTCTTGGTATGCCCTAAGTAGTTTACAATGATGTCGGTCATTATTCTGAAGCATTGAAATATTATCAACAAACTCTTGAAATCGAGTTAGAGACCTTGCAACGGAACCATCTAAGCGTTGGAACAGCTTTTGCAACATGGAAACAAATGTATGGTCTAGATTTGGACAAAATAATTTCTGTTAAAAATAAGTTTCAAATATTGCCCATACTCAGACAAATTTGTTGGCAAAATATGGAACTTGCGAGAGATCTTGTTGGTGTGTTATATCAAAAATACTCTGCACTGCGCTTCTTCCCATGTATGATTTTGGGGTCCTTCGTCAAATATTTTTCAACAATAATTCTCAAAGAGTGGCACTGATTAATGCTGTCCTGTGGAAAGAAGTATGCTGAGTTTTGGTTATGAAAATACGTTTATTTCCGGAGTTATAATCTGGATTACTAACCATTTGAACACCTCAATCACAAAAGCTCAATGTTTCTCAGGCCCATATGTTTTAGAGGAAATCTAATGACAGATTCTTGTGCGCTAGTATCAAGGCTTTCAAACCATACGATAAAAGTGGACGATTACGGGGGTGGCGGATTTGGGTCTTATCCAGGGGGGTCTTTGTTATGAGCTTTTGTGTCTTTTGATATATAAAATAACACTGGGAACCATTTTCTATTGAATATGACATGCACTCTTTATTTACTTTACCCGAAAAAAGTAATTGCATATTTACTACATACTTTTTTAAAAAGTACATGAAAAGTAAATAGTAGCCTGTTTACTTATCTTCTTTTGGAGCCTTTTAAGAATAAATGACAGATGAGTAAATTACAATCGAGAACACAAAGGCCTTATACCTTTGGTCCAAAACTGCAACTATATTGTTGTACGTTGTTATAACACTTGGATGGTTCGCTCACAAGGTGTTTAAGTTGATTTCAAGAGTTTGCTGAAAATATTTCAGTGCTTGAGGATAATCGCCTTGAGCATTGTGAAACTGTGACTCGCTCATATGTCGGTCGCTCAAGTGTCGACGCTCAAATGTCGGTCGCTCAAACGTCGGTTGTCGCAATAGATCAAAAAGATTGAGCTGTATGTTTTTTCTGGTTGTTGTCTCCTACTTCATTGTGATTTTGTAGGTATTACGTATCACAGTAGACATTTTTCGATTTTTTCCGTTTACTAGTTGAACAATCTATTATGAAATTTCAAAAGTTATGCTCGTGTTTGGTTAAAATACACGTGAGTTGTATTCTGTTAGTCACTTGCAACAGCTAGTGATAGTTCATTGTCTAGTGCCAGCGGGAAAAAACACGTTTTTGCGGCACGCTCTTTAAGTGTATCACACAGTCGCTTAGTCAGCACCTGAAAAATTCACCTAGCCGTTTCGTTACTGTGTGTTTTTTTAATTATATTTTTTGCATGGTTATGATGCTCATTAATCGCAGAAGATATGGGAGAAAGGAAGACTTTTTAATATATAAGAATTTAATAAATACTACTTAGCGGGGTGAAGATAAAAACGCACGTCATTTTTGTGAGCGTATGTTTTTCTTTTATATATGTCTGAACGCAAAATAAGATGGTAAATGAAAAAGAAACTTGGTACCTATGCTGCGTCCAGCACAATTAATTGGGTACCTCTCAAGTAATATTTACTTGAAAAAACTTCAAGCACCTACGACATTCATGCAGCAGGGTACCCACATAGGTACCTAAGAAAAATGCAAGTACTCGGGTACCTATCATCGGGTACATTCACCAGGGTAACTAATAATAGTTAACCTTCAAACTTAACGTAAATAACCCAGATATACTGCAGGGTATTTGACAGAATTTTGAAAAGTGAAGAAAATATTCCAGCGCTGCCCCATGGGTACATTTTAGTATATAAAATCGTGTGTACGCCCGTGAATATAGTGAAATGAACTGTGGTCGCACGTGAACATCGTAAAATGATGTGAGGACAGGCGTGTAAAATATATTCAACTTGTGTCAAAGCATGAACTGCTCACGGAAACTTTTCGCATCATATTTTTCGCAAGTGGTCGGTAGTGAAAGTCGTAGAATGGTGTGTGGACACGTGTGAAAAGAAATTCTCGCTTGTGAACACTTGTGAAATTATAGAAAATTCAAACGTGATCACGCATTTGATGTTGCAATTGCACGATCCCAATGTCGTGAAACTTCGACAAAATTTACCCATGGGTGAGCATTGACTTTTTTCGGAATGAACCTCATATGTCAAAAGTGACTCTCAATCGTAAAACTTTTGTATTTCAGTGACCATTAGAAGCAGAAAACGAAATTTATACCATAGATAGAAGAGAGTTAGTGCCACATTTTGCTAGAAAAGAGAATTTTTCATCTCTCTCGGATCAAGAGTTACATGCATTTTTCTGAAAAACAAAACGAAACGTTTACATCTGCCGAATCATTCAATTCAAGGGATCCCCCTCCCAATTTTTTCCGCCTGTTTGTAGAGACAATCTGAAGTAAAATATTCAGCAATTTTTTTTTGCTGAATATAAACTTCAAAAATGTTTTTGAGAAAAAAAGAAGCGTTTTTCAGATTTTTTATTCGAATTTTGAAATTTAAATAAAAATCTTTAAATTTTAAAATGACGGCTTGTTTGTTGCATCATCCGATAGAGGACATCAAGTTGTATACAGAAAAAAGTGTTCATCGTTCCAGAATGAATTTTGATGGAGAAATTTTCCCAGTTTTTAGAGGACACTTCGAAGTATATGTTCTGAAGTTTTTTCGGCTTACTGACATTATATGGCTAAGAAAAAAATTAATTACTGGAAAAAATGTTGTTAAATTTTCTACTTAGTAGACTTACCGAGCGACTAAAAATGTATTCTAAAGCTTTTAAGGTAGGCCGTCTTGTAGTCCATAAAATTCTCTATTAGATGAAGTATTGGTTGAATTTTTTTAGTTGAGTCGTTATTTTACAAATGAGACTTTAAGCTAGTAGAGTAGGCTAAATTAACGTTAATTAGTACTAATTAGTCAATAACAGAAAGGAAAGAACAAAACTTTTTACATATTTTCTCATGGTAAATATTCTCTACATATTTCTCTATTGTTTTTAGGCAAGAAGCAAGTTTTTATGATGAATAAAGAATGGACAGGAATTGTTTTAATAATCCCGTGCTCAAAAATTTAACAAGATTTTCTTAAGTAATTAATATTTTTCTCAGCTAAATAATGTAAGTAAGCTGAGAAAATTTCAGGACATATGCTTCGAAGTATCCTCTACAAACTGGGAGCGTTTGAGGAAAATCAAAATAGGGAGACCTTCCCTCTTCACTTAAGAGGCTCAAACTTGCTTGGGTGATCAGTGTTACACAAAATAGAAAGTCACTAGTTATGAGGGTTCTTGAGTTATAGGAGTGCTCTGTCTTTGTGCAGTAAGTAACAGTTGCTAAAACAGGATATACCGATTTCATTTGATTGTAGTAAGATCCTAATAATTATTATTCAACAGAAATGAACATTTTGTTTTTCGTATTATTTCGTCTAACTCAAATGTTCGTAGAATGAACAGAGACATTACGCAAGTGCATTTTCTCAAAGTCTAGATCAACATGGTTCCTTTACTCTTCTAAACCAAATTTTCTACGTAACTTCTCATAGATGAAAAAATTTAAAATATAAAAAACAACTGGGATAGTTGTAAAAATAGTTGTAAAAATCGATGTACTCCTACTAGTTAGTAAGTCTTTGGCATACAGAATGCGTAAATCTTGAAGATCTTCTTCCAAAACAATTTGCATACCCATCATCATATGACTAACTATATGACAATGAAGTGGCCAAATACCAGGATTATCAGCAATAAGACGAATCTTTTTCCAACCGCATGATTTTTTGTAGTTAGTCGAATTGACATATTGATAATAAGCGTATGCGGATGGTTTAACAAATATTGAATCACGAAGAATTGGATGAGGAATAACATGTATATTACTCAAATTATTTGGATCATATTCTCCATCACCATAGGAAATGTCCCAAAAATTATGTCCATGTGTATGATACGGATGACCTTCACAAACTCCATTCAATGCAACGGTATTTTGTATAACGAAGTCGATTACTTCGTTTTTTCGAATGGGATATGTATTGTCTGGCGCATAATAACCTCCGTTTGTTAAATTACTTAAATCATTTGACGATGATATTAAACTTTTATTATTGAAATAAAGATCATTCAAAAGATAAGAAGAATTTGGTGATATATAAATGACGTTATTCATTGCCCATCGAATTCCTCCATCATAGTTTCGAACTTGAGTACCAATTAAAATAATTTCACGATCAGCATTTGATGGGAGACTTAATGTGTCATTTTGTAATTGTAGACTATCGGCTAGATAGATATTCGTCTCTGGTGGTAAATACGGTAATAAACTTTTATCAGGTACAATTGTATTGGGTGCGTCTGATGCATTTTCATAATGAAGAATGCCAATTCCATTATGAGCTATATTTTTTCGCCATCGAACATCAGCAAACATATAATAATTATCGGTTATGTTATTTGTGATGAATAATGCAGAATAACGTTGTCCACTAGCTATTTCTAAATAGGAAACTTCCAAAGGTTTTACATAATTTCCATCAACCTCAATTAAAGTTAACGTATGACCGGCAATAGCAAAATTTAGAGTAGCAAGTGTCGTGGCTCCAATAATACGAAGTCGATACATTTGATTTTTAGTTACATTAATTACATGATAGCCGTGACTACAAGTATATGAACTATTATACATTGTTTTACCATTTAATAAAATACTTGTAGGTTCACCTACAAATGTGAAAGTTGGAGAAAATAATCCTTGTTCTTGAATTAATCTGTCAGTATGCCACCAATCACTTAACATAAGCACAATGTCACTGAGAGATTGCGATAATTTATCTTCTAGTATAAGTGGACCAAAAACTGTAATTGCTTGTAAACCGACATGTGAATGATAAAAAAATGTTCCAACTAATTGTACACGAAACACATGAGTAAAACTGGCGTTCGGTTTTATTGGTGATTGTGAAATATACGGAACACCATCCAAGTGTGGAGTATTATTCATAAATAAACCATGAAAATGTATAGTTAAATCTTCTGACTCTAATTTGTTAAATACATTAATAATCAAAATATCATCATAAGTCGCTCGAATTTCCGGTCCTGGAAATTGTCCATTAACAAGTAGTGATGATTGTTGACTGACATTGACCTGAACACAATCAGGACTTAAATTTCCATATGTTATTATCAAATTATATTCACGATTAATTGTTGAAACACTAATAATTATATTTAAAAACAATAGAAATAAAAAATTTTGTTTATTCAACAATCGATATTCACCTAATCTCATATTTTCAAAATTATATTGTAAATTTAATATATCCATTTGATTATCTGATCTATATACACAAGGACAATATACCGTCTGTCATATGAAAAATATCTATCGTCTAAATTATTCTGTATCCAATACGGAAGAAGAAGACGTTCAAAGTGTTCAAATTATAACTAAAAAAAGAGATTATTCATCATTTCTGCGTGAAGAAAATCTTTTTTTTTCCATAATAATAGATTAAGTAGATCAATATGATAAGAGATCAATGGATGATGATTAAATTTATTATACACAACAATATTATAAATGGTAATAACACTTCACAAGAGCGTCGTCACCACGAGTTAAACTGATTGTCTGTCAATTTTTAAAAAGTGTTACTCCGATTTTAAAAACTATTGGACTTCTTTTGATTTATCTCGATAAACATAATTTTATTAGAGCTCGTTGTATCACCTTCTGTTTTATGTTCTTTTTGTTAAAAATATTTTGATAATGTTATTGATTCGTTTGGCCAACATACAGTTAATTTGTTCTTCACATTTTAATAGTATAGTGCAGTTAGTTACTCATATGGTGTGAAATTGCCATAAATAAAATGACATTTTTATTTCGTCAGATTTATCATTTATCGTTAGAGAAACTAGGCAACTTTAGGACACTGTCATGGTTCAATGAATGGCCAAGAAAAAGAATTTTGATCTCTTCAAGTTATTTGTGTTATTTACATCAGGGATGTATTTAAGATTTTTTAAGAGGGGCCAACATTTTTTCCACTAAATCCTTTATTTTTTAGTTTCTAAAGGTGTTATCTTTTTTACTGGATGAACAAATCCATGTCGTCGATGCAAGTTAACTTTCCAAGAGGAGGGCCTGTGTCCCATATCTCTCATTGGCTACGCCACTAATTTACACATAGGCAAAACAAACGAAGGTGATTGAAACGAAGGATGTACGAGGTAGAATATAACAATACAAGAGCTAATTAGTATATTAATTGTATAGAGTGAAAACAAGATGGACGAAAAGAAAGAAGTGAAAGTGACATAAACAGAGCATGGAAAGAAAAGGCCATGGTTCGTCCCCGAATATGAGGCCAAATTGCTTCAATAACGAGTAACGAACTTAAAAAATAGTATCAAAAACAAAAAAACGAGAAAATGTTATAAATGAATATTGTCGTGATAATATAATCATTAATTGTGTCCTTGAAATCGATTTCTTCACAACAACTTGTATTTCAATCATGACATATTGTAGATAAATTTTAAAAAATTCCAATTTTTAGCGTGGATATTTGTTAAAACGAAAAGAATTAATATGATGCTAGCCTGTACAGATTTTATTCGAAAGAATAAAATCACACACCAAGTCAAAACAAAAAACTATACTCGGTGTGTGTGAACAAGCACTATATATCGATGAAGAAAGAATGTTAACTCAGCAAGAACTGAGTCAACATCCTTTCTGGTCATGAGAAATGAATAGCAAAAGCAGAAAAAGGAAGGAAGGTCAGTGTCGCCTGACATAACACTTCCCCCGTGGACGCGAGATGAACCTCCTGGCTCATCGAAAAAGTAGTGGTGACAAACAAAACGAAAAGAAACAACAGCAAAAAAAAGAAAACAAACAGGGAACTACAACAAGCGTTCATAAACTGGTAATACGTTATTGACATTGCCACCAGTTTTTTTCTTCTCCTATCAAATAATACGGCAGCAGCTGGATTGTATGTCTGAAGCCGAGTTTGACCAGGTCAAAGAGTTCGCTGATGTCCGATAGCCATCGATCAACAGTTTCCGAGGTAGGCTAGAAAATCGCGGCGCGTGGTCCAACACCTTGATCAACAGTGATTGTATCACAGAGTTTGCCACATGGTTGTGTTGAGCAATTGGTATTTCCGAGGGTTCCAATGTGCGTATGTTGGAAGAACACGCCGGTTAGTTTTTTAATGCCACAATGCCGTATTTCTAATGCCATAATGAAAGGAATACAGGCTGGCTAGTTTCTATATGCCAGCCTGCAATAATATTGCATTAACGTGCTCCATGATTAATGGCACAATAAGATGGAAACAGACCGGCTAGTGAACCAATATGCTAGCCCGCACAGATTTTATTCGAAAGAATAAAATCACACATAAAATAAAAATAAAAAACTGTCTTCGGTGTATACGAACGTTCCTTTCTTGTTTCGTCGACAGCTTTTTTTATCCGTTGTAAAATATGGAATTATGGTTGCAATTATAAAAATATATACTAAAATTTTAAATTTAAAAAAGATTGATAAAATTCAATAAATGAAGATCAACTGAACAACGGAAATCTTTGTCAAAACTAATAGTGTACAGAAAACAGTTGCAGTTTATAATAAAAAATGTATAAATATACTTTAATCAGTGATCTTGGACTCACAAAATCATCTATTAATCAAGAATGCTACCTATCACTTACATATACAATTTGTTGCCATGTGTAGTATGAAAACGGGTTATTCTCAAAGTTGCATCATTTGAAAATCTGTTTCACCGAGTAAAATATTGTTCGGTAAAATAGAATACATTTTTGGTATATGATCCCTAACATCGTTTGAAAAACAGATAACAACACCTAAAGAAGGTTTTATTTGCCGGAGAATTCAACAGGGCTCGATAATGTGAGTTTAATGTGTACTTGTATGTCATTTGTCCTGATCAAAAGCGATGGCTACTCGAACGAATTGCCCTTATATTACCAATTATTTGTGCTAGTCATAATATTGTTTCTGATGAGATTTTGAACCTCACCCAGTTCCTGCACTATCTGGTGGTCATTTCTAAAAATCTGCTTTTCCGTGCGAAAACGGTGAAGATTTTTTTTAAACCGATGAAATAATCTGTTTGGTTTGTCCATATATGAAGTTTCCAACTTTTCTTTGATTCAGCTCGTATAGCAAAGTTTTAAATATAGAGTAGCGGATGCCAATAAAAGAAACACCTGCGTTATATGATCGTTTCATCAACCCATTTGCCGCGTTATACAACGGCAAACCAAAGATGAGCAAAGATTTCAGAGTGAAAATTGTTCTCATTTAGTAGGACGCTTACGAAGTACGCAATCAAAAGTTGGAAAAGTTTTACTTGATACGAAGAAGAAGAAAGCATCGAGTTTTGTATGATGAAGAAAGACTATTAAACTAGTGACGTGGGAAAAAAATGGTTGTTATTGTGTAACGTAGGTTTACGATCGTATTCTATACAGACGTAATACGTTATTGTATATAACTGTCGTAAAAAGCCGTACACGTTTGTAAACGGTCGTAAACGTTCTCTTTACGATGGTCGTATATGACGATGTACAAGCCAATACAGTCGTTCACGACCTTATTTCAACGGTAAACCGATCATAAGGAGACGTTTACGACGCTGTAACTATTAACTTCGTATGCATAACGAAAAATACGGATGACGTCTAAGGAATTTTGTTTCATGCAATAGAAAGAAAACCTTTTTTGGCTACTCAATGAAAGTTCGAAGCTTCTTAATCTTTTTTTTGAAAGATCTACAGGAAAACTTGTGTGGTGAGACTTAGGTCCAAATCTAAAAAAATGTGGAATGAGGGAAGAAACTGAATTCTAGCTAAGGATTTGAAATATTCGATCATTAATTGGAACTTCACAAAAATCGAGTTTATGGAGAGGGAAGAAAGTAAAAAGTTGGTCTGAAACTCCTACTTTAGTACAAAAATCTGATTTCTAATACGTCTGATCTGATATTTTGACAACACATAAGGAAAAGGCACAAAAAAAAGTTGCAAAATCGATTGATTTTCTAAGAAGTCTAATCGGTCATTTTTTTCTTGCTTCTTCCATATTTATCAAAGCCTTCATTGCAACGGTGGCGGAGCGATCGTTGTGTGAGGAGTGGGTACACCCCCTGCTTTCTGAAATTTCCTTGCAAATTTGATCCGATTTGAGCCAAAAGTACGGGAAACTTACTCCAATTTTGTGAAAGAATGGACTGACTTACTCCGATTTTGCCAAAGCTTTGTTTGAAATTTTTACGGTTTTTGCGCAGATATTTGCTGTTTTCTTCAATTTCCGGCCATCTTTGCTACAAAAATGTGACAAAATCGGGAAAGCTAGAACAAGTGGAACACCTTCTTCTCATTCAGTTTTTCCAAGATGAAAATAATAAAAAACGGATTACGAACAACTATGGGCGATGAAAGATTACAAGCGTTATTAGTATGTTCAATAGGAACAGTATTTGTAAATGCTACGAATACTTAAGAACTAGTAGAACGATGATCCAGGAATAAATCTGGTCATAGAATTTAGTTTTGTTTTGTGAAGGATATGAAAGAACAATGAAAAAATGCTGTTTCCTTCGTGTGTCTGCAAAGTGTGGAGGTAACGGATTATACAACTGTAAGTCCGAAATGAAAAAATGTCAGATTTTGTATTGTTTCTTTTACTTTATCGAACTTGTCAGAAAATCTTTTTGAACTTACTTCGGTTTTGGAGACTATCATCCCCTGCTTTAACTTCTTCGCGCCACCACTGCATTACAATAAGTTATCCTGTAACAGATCTCTGCCCCTTTTAGTATTTAACATCAGAAATGTTAATAAATTTGGAAAGCTCTCTCAGGTTTTGCAAATCAGCATATCCTTCGAGAAGTATTCTTGTTGTACGACACTTAGAGATCACAAAGAAGGACTGAAAACGTGGGTTAGGTCTGATTAGGACAAGGTCGAGTTCCACTGCAACTTTCTGAAGATCGCAAAGCGATTCGCTCTTGCTAATATTCCTCATTTTTATTTCTGAATTTAGCATCTTCCAAAAATGTAGTTGGTTCTATCCACTCAAAGACAATCTATCAAGTCAATCAAAACTCAATCAAAAAAATCAATCTATCAAGTCCCATTTATTTTCTTTATTTTTTAAATAAAATAACAGTCGCTCAACACGTGATCAATGTTGAATTTGGTTTTCATTATTAAGAGGTCCATATTGTCATCCAATTAGCTGAAATAATACACCCTACTCAACTTCGAAGTTCAATTGCTTTTAATAACAGTGAAAAAGTTTATTTTCAGCTTGCAAGTCCCTGATTATCAGCATTCTCACTCAAATTGTTCTTTCTCATCATCTAGAAAATAATCCGACTTTTCGATTTTCGAAAAATCCATATATAAAATCACTGAGGATTTTCTAGATTCTAGAAAATCGAACTTTAAACAGTCTAGAAAATCCAGCTCGATTTTCATGAAAATTGGACAATCGAGCTGGATTTTCTATAAATAATTCCCAACAATCCAGAAAATCGATGCCCATTTTCCAACTTTCTTAGAAATTCGATTTTCTATAATGTAGAAAACCCGTGAGGATTTTGTACATGGACTTTTTGAAAATCGCCGAGCATTTTCTATAAATAATTTCCGACTTTACAGTGTAGTGGCTTTAATACATAAATTTATGTAATAAAATTTGGAAGTTAACTTCCAAGTCCACTGACGTTTCTATTACTAAAAAAACGTTTTGATTATTTCAGTATAAAATCCAAGGTTCAAATTATTAGTTTATAGACTAAAAAATGCAGAACTTCGCGCTCTATTAGACTGTGTAACTTACAAATAAATTTGCTACTGTTTTTACCTGAAAAACTAAGAAATACTGGTTGTCACTATAATGGCCAAAAAATTGGAGAAAATGACCTTTCCCAAAGACTGTTTTGCGCTTCGATTTCATCTAAAAAATCATTATTTCTCATCAAAAAAAAAGGTCATACTGTAGAAAATTTCTTGCTGAATTTTTCGGTATACCTTGTTTTGTTGAGTAAGTGATTTTTAGCAAGATTTTGTGCAAAAAATCGGTTTTCTTTTGAGGTACAGTTAAAAAATCTGGAGTTTTTCTTATTAGAGTTATTGTGTCAAACATCAAAGATGAATCTTAAAAGTAAATATACAATCTTGTAGAGAATCAACTTCAAGTAATGTCTATTGTTTAATATATGAAGGAATTTCTTTTATAAATAGTATAGGGAATGAGAGAAAAATGCACCAAGATTTAGTACATTTTATTCTTGGACACTCATTACATTCTATAGATTATGTATTAGAATATCCTTAAAATAACACTGTTCAACGACTCTGTAAAGTTGAGAAACGCTGATTTATTACTGAGCATTTTGTTTTTTAAACGCGTTTGAGCGCTAGAATTTTGTCACTAAAGTAGCTAAAATGATTGGACTGAATATTAACTAATCAAAGTCTATTCGAAAATAAACAAACAAATTAAAAATCAATAAGTGAAGGTTGTTTCTATTCCTGTTACACTATCAATTCATAAGTAAATACTAGAGCGGGATGAAAAGGTCTTGTCTCGCGAAATTTTATGAGACGAGATCAAGTGAAACGGATTTATAAATTGCTTGCCAAGATAAAATTCGTTCTTTCTCCGCACATCTTTTAAAACTAATGACATCTCAGAAATTTATTACAGAAACAAGGAGACTTTTATGTCTTTTTTTCATATATTTGTTGTGTTTTTAATGCGATAAGTGTGAAATAGATAGATGAAGACAGGATGGTGGCAATTTTCTTTACACTAGACGAGACGAAAGAGCTTTTAAAACTTTTTTCCGAAGTGAACGAAACGAGCGGTTCGAAAATCCCGTTTTACTCAGCTCTGATACTTATATAGCCAAATAACAATACTTGTTTATGTCTTGTAGTCAAGTGTTTCGGTCAAAGAAGAGCGCCGTTGAACTTAAAAGAAAACAAAAAAGATAGATTGAATTTTTTAGGTACTGTATTGAAAAAGCTTTTCTGTTGCATTTATGCTTGAAAATTATCATTTATGAAGCGGTCCATTGTCTTTTGTCGGAAAAGTTTCTATCTTAGCCTTATAAAAAGACAAACTTAATAATTACTTTTCCACACTGTTAAATTGTCATGTCATGTTGCATATCTTAATAATCAGGGCTAGTGTTTTTGAAATTTCATGCTACCAGTTTTAACAGCTATCGAAAAATAAGCCGAAACAAAATATAAAGATAAAGAAGGAGAAAAAACACGCTAGATAAAGTTCTTGACTGAGTTGTTACTTTTCATCTGCTTCGTGCCAAGATTAACCCAGCTCTTTCTAGTCTTTAATTAAATCAGAGTCGTCCACCTCATCTATGAGATTGATTCACGTCTGCTGACTAGCGATAGGCTTCAATACTTTAAAACTTTATTTTCAAACAAACTATGTCCATCTTGTTGTTGATCTTTCTGTTGTTTTATTTGATACAAAAAGTCACTATTCTCTCTTTCTTTGATGGTAAAACGATCGCTAAATTTTTCTTACATTTGGAATTTTTGAGTATACATTAGTTACTACTTTACTTTTTTAAAATGACCTCAGTTTGTTATAGATAGAAGATAATTCATTGAACATGAGTGGCGATATCTATGTGAAATACAATCCGAAGGATGCTCAAGTCAAAACATGGTCTGTTCACCGGACATTAGAGCCACTTGTTACGCAAGTATGTAGAGTAATATAAGACTAGTTCTATGATCTAGTATATAATATGTTTATTATTTATCAGGTTACAACATTAATATCTGAACAGCCGTCAAATAAGAAAAAAGGTCGATCAAAACGTGCACATTTATTAGTGTCAAGTGTTATAAAAGCCACCGAGAATTTTATCAGTAAAGCAATTGAAATCGCAAATGAAAATCCCGATATGAAAAATGATCTGTTTGCAAGTATGGAAGATGTGAAAGCAGCAGGTAGCTCAACTTAATTTATAATGAATAATAACGATGAAAGAAAATAATAATCGTTTTTTCTAAATTAAGGTGATCAAATGGCTGTTCTGTCAAAAGATTTTGCCGATGATCCATGCTCAAAGGGAAAACGTCAACAAATGATTGCTGCTGCCAAAGTGCTGTTAACATCTGTCACTCATTTATTAATTTTAGCTGATCTCGTTGACGTTCAACTTATATTAAAATCAATTCGTTTGGTAAATAGGTTTGTCTATTTTCTATCAGTTATTATTATTGTTAATGAAAATTTTTCGTTTTAGGTTGAAGATGATCTGCAACAAATACGTGACGCATCAAATCAAGAAGAATTGATTCATTATTACAAACAATATGGAAAAGATATTATTGATCTCAGTAATCATGCTCATCGTCGTCAATATGTAATATTGTTTTGCTCACATTCTTTATAAGATTTTGATCGATCATTAAACTTGACAATATCTAAGAATAGGCATGCACCAAATCCGAACGTTTGGGTTCGGCCTCATATGAACAGAACAGTTTGGCACCAATGGACGTATTCTTACAAACGTTTCGGTATCTTATTCTCTTGCTTCTCACTGTGTCTATTATTAAACGAAACATTCAGACACACGCAAGTGTTCTTTTTCTGTATGTTATAACTATTTAGATAGATCAATGACACAGATAAAATCTATTCTAATGTTCTGTCTTGGATGTTTTGTTTACAGGCATAGAGCGTTCTGCAAGAAGCCTCAGAAGCGAAAGACTACTTTTCCGTACCGAATCCAAACCCACACTTGGGTTCGGATTTGGCACATGCCTATCTAAGAATACTCGTATAAAAACTAAATTGACCATTTTTATTCAGACAACAGAAAACTTGTATTTTGATTTATCTACTAATTTTTTTCAAATACATTGTTTCGTTTCTTTTTACAGGATCTTGTCGATCGTCTTGAACAAGAAAAATTAGCTCAAGCGCGTGGCACTATAAAACGTACGTCCGTAATGTTATTGACAGCATCAAAAGCCTATATTCGTCATCCAGAAATAACATTTGCACGTGAAAATCGTGATTATGTGTACAATCAATTGCGTGATGCTGTTAATACAATATCGTCGATAACTCAGGGTAAACCTGTACCAAATGCACAAAATATAAAAGAATCAATGAGTGCTGTGGGTGATTTAACTAGAGCATTAAATGAATTTGATGTAAGTCTATTTTCATTTAGTTGTCATAATCTATATTTGTACTTAATTGTGTTTAGAAAATAGTTGTTATGAAACCAACGAAATTTAATGAGCAGTTGATTCGTCCACAATTAGAAGAACGTTTAGAAAGTATCATATCAGGCGCTGCTTTGTTAGCTGATTCATTATCAACAAGAGATGACAGACGTGATCGCATCGTTCAAGAGTGTAATGCAGTTAGACAAGCTTTACAAGAATTGCTCGATGAATATATTCAACATGTATGTTTGTGGGTTCATGCCATCTTGAAATAACAAATATTTAAAGATTAATCTCTTTTATTATTTTAGTCTAGAAAGAAAAGTTCTGATGAAGATGTTAATCGAAAAATTCAATCAATGCAAAATAAAACACGCGATTTACGTAAACAAGTGAGAAAAAAATATAACTGATTTTATAACAGGAGGGCATCATATGCAAAAAGTGGTAATCTATTACCAATTGTTAGCGAAAAACGTTATATATATTTCGTTTTTTCATACGTTTTTTTCTGGATAATATTTAAATACTCGGTATATTTCTATTACGCAATCTTTTTTATTTTCCTTCCGTCCAATTTATGTAGGCGTACATAGGATATAACGGGTGGGCCAGAAATAATGACGCACTTTTGTTCTCTTTTCTTCCGAGCACATCCGAGGTTCGAAGATTTCATTCTGAACTCATTCGATAGAGAATTTTCTGCTCTACAAAATCCATTACCTTCTTTCATTACATATTATTTCGTTATTTTAAAAAATAGTACAGAGTATTGACAGGTAAAAGTATAACTGGAAGGAAGAGGTTATAATTATTTTTATAGTTGACCTAATTGATTATTTAATTAATCCGCGTTGAGAAATAAAATTTTTCCTAACATTTTGTCACTAAGAACGGATGATCCTGAAATTATGAGGTTATTCATGTATCTATTTTTCTCTATATCCCCGTATGGTTCCGAGACTTTCGTTCTGACATCAGAAGATAGAAAATTTTCTGCTCTACAAAACCCTATAACGCACACTTTCACTGCGTTGTTTGGCTAGTCCTTTTCCTACTTTTTTCAAAATTCCACATTACCCGAAAGTACAGATCGGTGTGCACTGAAAGCTTCAAAATTTAGGTGACCAAACGAATAAGTAGCGTAGTCTAGATGATAGCGCTCAATCCGCTGAACATTTTTATATCACCTTCTCTCAATTACCACATTATTTCTCGAAAAGTTACACAAAAACGAGAAGCCACCAAAATTTTGATAGAAAATCGCAGTTATACTTTTTATCTGTCAGTACTCTGTACTATTTTTTAAAATAATGAAATAATATGTAATGAAAAAAGGTAATGGATTTTGTAGAGCAGAAAATTCTCTATCGAATGAGTTTAGAATGGAATCTTCGAATCTCGGTTGTGCTCGGAAGAAAAGAGAACAAAAGTCCGTCATTATTTCTGGCTCACCCGTTATAGCAGTAATTGTATCTTCGAAATGGCTTAGAGATACAGTAAGTAAACAATTTTCAAATGATGCAAGAGAATTTTATACTTCTATTAAAAAAGTTTATTGAAGATTTTGAAATATAATTAATTTATGACTCATACGTCTACTGATCTCTGTTCTTTCTATAGTTTATCTCATTTCGGTTGGATGAAATTATTATTGTAAGTCTTATTTTTTTAAAAAATGGGAGAATTTTACTAACAAAAATCTTGCACAAAATGCTGTTAGTTAGAAGTATAAAGTTTACGCAAACAATGTGTGCTTGAATTCGGCAATATAAGAATATTGTGCAATTTTTCGTTCACCTCTTCAAAACTTTGACTTTTGGCAGTCATTTGAAGTTAAACAATCATATGTCTCAGATATGTGTATTCAAACAACAAATTTTGATTATGTCAAAAGTGGTTTGAGAAAATGTTTAAATTGTGATTATTTTACTTCCGAGAATAAAAAAAGATTCACATGATAAGTATGTGACGAAAGCGTAGTATGATGATTTGTTTCCTTTTTAATATGGATGTGCTAAAATATTGATATATATTCTAAAATTTTTCAAAACAAGTATTTGAAAAATGTATATAGTTGATGTTCAAATTTAATAAAAACAAAGAGAATATCTATGCTTCCGAAAATGTTATGATGAATTTTTTATTACATTGAATATTGTTGTAGTAGTCTGTTATGTTTATCCAAATGTTTTCTATTCATATATTGATAACGAAAGTGTGTAGACTATTGCTATCGGCAATATGAAATTATTTCTTTTAAAGTGGCATAGTACCAAAGTGAATGAAATTTATAGTCAAACATATGGTAGATGAGAAGGTCATCTTATACGCTATTATTATTTTGATTAGTCTTCTGTACAAAAAAAATTTGTATATACATATCTTGAACAAAAATTGTTTCTTTCCATTTTTCTATTAGTCTTGTTCATTATTATATACATAAAAGAGTCTTTAATACATTTGTCTTTAGAAGGTATGTGCTGTGTGTATGTATGTATATAAACTGTGATGATTCATCTGCAATTATATTTATAAAGATAAATCTCTTTATACATATATAAACCAGGTTTTCTTTTCATATTAGAGTATCTGTTCACTGTTAGTTTTAAAGAAAGAGGAAAAAGATTCCTTTCTTCGTTGGTCAATTATACATGTACTACTCAACGCATCTTTATTCTATTCTTATGTTCAAAAGAAGAACGGAAGAAGAAAAAAACTACACACACACACACACAGTTAATTCTTTTTACGTCTAACCTATATATGATAATAGAGTTGTTTAATTGTCCAGACAAAAAACATTGCATCTAAGATAGATAACTATCTTTAAAATCTCATCAAAATTAGAAATGTCATATAAAAATGTCTATGTTATTTTTTAAAACGTGTGTTATTATATTCTCGTAAAACAAACTAAAAGAAAAGATCTTGTCAAATATTAATTTGAACACGTACCAATCATATATGATATTACGCTCATTGAATAATTTCATTTTTTTTCTTCTTTTCATTGTGCACATCGTTTTGTTATGTATTTTGTATCAAGTATTTACACTATGAGCAATAGTATTGGTCATAATAATATTTTATTTCAATAAACTCCTTCTACTTATTGAACAAAAGAAAATCTTCTGTATTAGAATTATTTTAATACAAAAACAGTAGTAATAACAGACATGTATGTGTATGTTTGTGGTCCACCACATGCCGTTAAACTTTATCGCGAATCATCATCTTCATCTTCGGCTGATTCATTTGAATGCTCATTTTCAATAAATGAAACATATCCGGTATGTTTATAATTGCTTTTTAAATAATTACACAAAACAAAAGCTTCATATACAATTTTGGCTTATTTTTTTCTCATCTGTAAAATGAAACATTTTACTACGATTAATTGCAATATGGAGTATTCTAGTCATACAACTCCTAAAGATTATTGTAGTTGCTTAATAGAAATGCTTGATAAGATAAAAAATTTGTAACTGTTTCTACTTCAATTTAATGTGTTGAAAGAGGATAAGATTTATTAGCTATTTTGATGACGATTCATTATTCTATCAATTTTTCTTTTGCGATTTAGTTACGCAAAGCAGTTATTGATCATGTTAGTGATACATTTTTGGCAACAAATGTTCCCTTATTAGCATTAATTGACGCTGCTCGACGTGGTAATCAGGCGTTGGTTGAAGAAAATGCCAGAATATTTATGGAACATGCCAGCAAATTGGTTGAAGTATGAATAATCACAATCATCTATTTTATTCATCTGTTTGTTTGCACTAGTAAAAAAACGATGATTTTTTCCCGTATACTTACGAATTCCAAGAAATACAAAACATTTTTTGTATTTTATGTTAGACAATAGCAAAAATCTTTACTACAGAAAAAATGATTTTTTTCTCGTTGTCAGTTTTCCAGTAGTTTAACATGTCGTTAAGGTTGCTAATGTTGCTTGTTCAATGTCAGATCAAGCGGAAGGTATCAAATTGGTTCGATTAGCAGCATTGCAAATACAAAATCTTTCACCACAAGTAAATATTTCTGAAATAGATAATTCTTTAGGATAAGTACAATATTTTTATATTATATTTTAAGGTTGTTAATGCTGCACGTGTATTAGCTGTTCGTTCAACATCAAAAGTAGCACAAGAAAACATGGAAGTCTTTCGTGATTCATGGGAAAAACATGTTCGTCTATTAACAGAAGCTGTCGATGAAATAACAACAATTGAAGACTTTTTAGCTGTTTCTGAAACTCACATTTTAGAAGATATTAATCGTTGTATTCAGGCGATGGTCGAAAGAGATGCTGATCGTAAGTTTAGTTTGATAAAGATGACAATAATCAATTTTATTGAATTTTATTTTATGTATTCAGGAGTTGACCGAACGGCTGGTGCGATTCGTGGACGATCTGGACGGGTTATAGATGTTGTTACTGCTGAAATGGAAAAATATGAACCTGGAGAATATACAGCTAGTGTGATGGATAAAGTTAAAACATTGAGAGATCAAAGTAAAACAGTTAAATGTAAAAGAAACAAATAAAAAAAGTGGACTTATCTTATTCATTTAGTTATGCCAAGTTTTGCTGATGGCATTAAACAAGCTATCGATGCTTTGTGTATGAAACCGGCACGTGAACCAGATGAAAATGATGTTATTGAAGCGTCTAGATTAGTTTATGATGGCATACGAGATGTACGAAATGCTGTACTTATGAATCCGGTACGTTCAACTTTGATTGTAATGGGTCAACAACCAAAATCTCATAGTAGATCATTAAATTGTATATTTTCATCGTCGACAGAAGAATTTGATATGAGAAAATCTGCAATACTTAAACAAAACAAAACATATATTATTTAGAGGAAAGCAGACGCCGTTTGTCTACTGTATATAATTTCTTTCTTCTCTCACCAAAATAACTCAGGGATATTTCGATCTTTTTCTTCATTCTCAGGGGTTTTGAAATATATTTGTTCTTCTCTTTTCTGAAGACAATATTTAAGCTGCATTCTCTTCCAATCTTCTCAGGGATTGTCCGTTCTATATGATTGGTAAGTTGCTGCAATGACTGTTTTTTTCTTATTATCCTTAAGGGTACCCCAACTCTTTTTTGAAAAAATTTCGTATTTTGAGCTGAGCATAGTCTAATGTAGAGGAAAGTGTGGGCTACAAAATGAGATCATTCTCGGTACTGCACGATCTTTCTTCAAAAAGTTATCAATTTTTGAAGTCTAAAACGTTTTTTAATTTCATAAACTTTTCTCTCCTTTTCTGTACACTCAGAATTTTTTCTTACACATAGTCTGATAGAAGAAAGTGTTTTCTTCACAATGAGACGTTTTCCAGAATTTTTCGATGACTTTTCGTGGAGATATAAGCATCTCGGCAAATGCCCTGAAAAAAGTGACCTGTGCACAAAATGCGTTTTCCTCTAAAACTTTTCTTTTGCTACCTGGTGTCATTGTGTCGCATTACGATCCTCGTTAAATTTCATCCGATCGAGTTAAAATTTTTACCAGAGGTATTCAAGACACTTATGCAGAGGTAGTTTTTTGCAATTTTATTTTAGACCTTTCTTCATCGAGTTATAGGGTTTCTAAAATTGAAAAACTTGGTTTTTGAGATGTTTTCAGTACTTTTCCTATAACTCGGCCAGAAAAGATCTTGAAAGAAATTTCCAAAAATACCTCTGCAATATTATCTTGAGTACCTCCGATAGTTTTTAACTCAATCGGATGAAATTTAAGGGGAGTCGTAATGTGACACAATGAAAAACCGAGTTTTCTGGAAAACTTGTGAACGGTAATAGTTAAAAACTTGAAACAAAAACGAAAAAGTGCTCCATTGAGTATCCAATCAGTTCTGAAAATATGAAGCGTTAGTGAGTTTTAGTTTTTATTTCACAGTATTTCTACGGAAAGCCCAAAAAGAGGGAGGGGGTACCCTTAATTCTGCTTGATAAGAGATTATTGCCACACACAGTGAATTTGCTCGGTGAATTCTTTTGCCCTGCTATTGGAATGAATTTATATATTCGTTTTTCAGTACTACATAAATATACTCTCTTTTCCCCGTTAAAAACTTTTTCTTACGGTAGCTTGATGTAACTGAGTGATCCAAAACCTGACTGCACGAATCTCGAGAAAATAGTTTTACTGTATATATTTTTTTTTCCTATTTGTCATACTTTCCTTATGATAAAAATTACATCTGAAACAAAAAAGTAAAAATATAATGAGCGAAAGGGGTAAGTGATGCTCATTGCTTTTTGCGGAGGTGTTGGAATGATAACTAAAACAATGCTCAGTTATTTTTGCTTTTATTTTTATTTCCAAAGCTGCTTGTTATTTAATTATATTTTATTTTTGGCTATGACCTATTGTTTATTATTTTATCAATCTATCTTTGATCAAATTGACTATTTAATTTATTTTGTTTAAAGGAACTTGAATGGCCAAGCGATGAAGAAGATGGTTTAGGTGATGAAATTTATGCACCATCACAAGCATCTAGTCATGGACCATCATCTGACAGTGTACGAGAAGATGTGGAAATATATCCAGGAAAAAATGATAATCCGAGTCGTGTTAGTATATAAATGAATTATTCTTGTAATTGTTGCCAAAATTAATGTTACGTTGATTTTTGTCTCCTTTTTAAGGATATGATGAGACGTTTACCAAAAGAAGAACGTGAACAAATTGAACTTCAAGTTGAAGGTTTTAAAAAGACAAAACGTGATTTTGATCGTGAAGTATTGAAATGGGATGATAAAGGAAATGATATTATTGTTTTGGCAAAAAAAATGTGCATGATTATGATGGAAATGACTGATTTTACACGTGGTCGTGGTCCATTACGAACAACAATGGATGTTATACATGCTGCTAAAATGATTTCAGAATGTGGTACAAAATTAAATAAATTGGCAAAAGATATTGCTGCACAGGTTAGATATTTGAACATTTAAATAACCTACTCTACGAAAGTTTTGACACAAAATGTTCGTTCATTTTCAGAATACTTATTAACAACTGTTGAGAGTCAAAAGCCGTCAGTTAGAATCAGACATTTGTGTTCTTTCCGAATATGTGTCAGATTTTTTTTCTAGTTTAATGTTGATTAACTGTGAGCAGATGTTTGAAAGAGCCAAAAATGAAGTCTGTACAGAATATTTTTAGTCTATTTTTGTATTTTCGTTAAAACTTAACTCAAAACATGGAACATCCTTTAATACAGCAGTTTTGTAGAACAAAACTTTGCTCTACAAAACTGCTTTCTTTACTTTTCTTTTTCTCTTTGGCAAAAAGGTTTCAAATTTATTGATTCTAAAAGGCACATTTTGGAAGAAGGAAGAAGACCCCACCTTGCGGTATAGGGTGCTGCCGAAGCAGTTTCGATAAGCCCGATATCTTCCCTACAGCTGCTGATCTTCAGAGACGGTCACCTGTTCTTCTACTAGTCATCAAGCAAGCTGTATCTCTGGACAGAAGGCCAGTCTGACACAATTCTTTTCGCTTAATTGCTCGAGCTCCCCATACACACTCACTAATCACATACCAGCACCGACGTACCGGTGTATGTTACAACGTAGTGAGCATGCTATCGGACGGGTGATCCGAGACAATAGCCGTTAGTAACTTGTCCAAGATTATTCTATGAATGGGTGGCGCCGAGGTGCGAACACGGTACCTTTGAAGTACGTGCCGAACAACATAACCACTCAGCCATAGCGGCAGGTTTTGAAAAATCGATTTTTTCACAGAATGCCGTTTTACGTAGAAAGTAGCTCTCAGAAAAACTTTTATACCTTTTGATTCTCTTGAGTTGTGAGCCGCTGTAATACCTCATTTTGTAGAGAATTAAATGCTCTACAATAATACCGATTTCAAACTGCCTCATAATACAACCTACACAAGCTACAGATTACGCAAAAACTCGTATTTTTCTGTGTACAGACTTTATTTTGGGCTCTTTCAAACATCTGCTCACAGTTAATCAACATTAAACTAGAAAAAAAATCTGAACATATATTCGGAACGAGTATAAAAGTCTGATTCTAATTGACGGCGTTTGACTCTCAACAGTTGCTAATAAGTATTTTGAAATGAACGAACATTTTGTGCCAAGACTTTCGTGCAGTAGGTTAATTTGATTAATAGCTCTGAAATGTATGACTCACTGCGTGTTTATATAAATATTCAAATAGTTGATGTAAAAATTTTTTTTTCTACTGATAGCATTTTTTTTTAGTGTGCCGAATCTCAGTCAAAAGCTGATCTTGTTGCTTATGTTGATCGTATGTATTTCAAAATATTTTCATGTTGAAGTTTAATTGACAACTTGATTTGACTTTATTCTCTCCAGGCATCACACTCTATTGTCATCAACTGGATATCACTAGCAAAGTGAAAGCCGATGTTCAAAACATCAGTGGTGAATTGATCGTTAGTGGTGTAAGTATAAGATTTCTATTATATTTTTTACTATTGTATTGACATTTTTTTATCTTCTTTTAGCTTGACAGTGCTACATCATTGATAACAGCCGCTAAAAATTTGATGAATGCGGTGGTTTTAACTGTAAAAGCATCATACATAGCATCAACAAAATATCGCAACAAATCGGGAAATAAAGAGGTAAATAATTTAATTTATTAAAATGAATAATATTTTGTAATATATTTTCTTTTCTCGTTGATTCAGCCGATTGTTCAATGGAAAATGCGTATGCCAGAAAAGAAACCATTAGTGTTAGTCGATCGTCCAAATGAATCAACTCGTATTCGTAAAGGAGCAATGAGAAAACGTTTAGAACCTATGCAAGTTTTAAGTGAATTTCATAATTAAAACGAATAATGAATGATAAAGCTTTATGTCAGATCAAATCAATTTATTTCCATACATTTGAGAAACGGATGTTTTTTCTTCAACTATTATCTGCACATCCACTTTGTTAAACTCTATTTACTGTGTGCCGCCATAGAATTCTCAATTACAATAATTTTATTTGTATTTTACTATTGATTTTTTCAATCTCATCACCTATATCTTCTATCGACCTTTTCTCAGTCTCTTTCTCTTGCTCTTCCATTATCTCCTCTATACGTTGTAGATGTGTTTGTTTTATTTTATTTGCTTTTATTACTATTTTTTACTTTTATAAAAAAAAAAGCAATATTCTGATGGATCTTTGTCAGAATATTTGAATTTATATTCTGTGTATGATAATTTGCGATTAAGCTTATTTTACTTATAGTAAAAAAAATACTTTGTCAAATTTTTTCTTTCATCTCTTACAGAGCTCGCAAACTTGATATGTCTCTATTCGCATTATCTTTCAAGTGAAGTAAGAATAACAGTTTTGGTTTTCAAGTTCACTTTAGAGAAATATGCATATAGTAATCTTTTTTGTATTTTCTAAGACTTGCATTTTATACATCTGCATTTTTATGGTTTTGTGCTAATATGAATTTGTATATATTAATAAAAAATAATAATTATTGTATTCTTTTTATCTAAAGTAAATCAAAGACTTTTCATTTGTATCACTTTATCGCATGGGCTCGATCTTTTCCTCTTCAGTCTCTGGATAGTCAACTAGAGTTCATTCAAGAAAAGCCAATCATTTACAGATTTTTCAAGTTTTTTGTGTTACCAATTCATTGGATGAAAGTTTTAAGTTTGAACAAGGATTGAATCAGATCTCGTTTCTTCTTTTCATTTTTTTATGTCCGATTATAAATAAAGAGATATTCGAGATTCAAAAGTTTAGAGGTTCTTGGTCCACTAGGTGAAAAGCGACTTTTAAACTAACAAATAGTGGATATCGCTATAACTGTAAAGAGCATAAAAAAATGGAAATAGAAAATAAAATCCTGTTCAATTTATGTTTAAACTTTATACTTTCATCCAATCAATTGATAATACAAGTAAGGTCGTACTTTTCAGGAAATCTGTAAATGATTGGATGAGTAATCGTGCACTGGGACACAGACCACCTGAAAGATACAGTCTCAAATGGTTCCTTTTTATATGAATGATATACAAAGTGGCCCAAAAATGATATCAACACAATGTTGATATCTTTCTACACTTACGAGCTGTAAGAAATGAGTTGACTTTTAGTATAAAAGAAGTTGGCGTACAAAAATACAAAAGTTCATATTCGATATTAGATTGAGTTCATAACTCAGCTATGGGTATATGCCGTAGAGCTCTTTAGGCGACAGGGTGAAACATGCCAAACTTTATACACTACCAATACCTCAAAATTACAAGCACAAAAACAACCACATCATTTGGGAGCAGGCCAAGAATAGAGCTCATGTCGACATCGAACCAAAGAGCAAAAGTGGAAGCAAGGAACATACGGCTGGAACAGCTACAGGGAATATGTCCTTGTGTGCCAACCGAATGAAACGTAGTGTACGTGTACCGGGATAGACCCTGGATAGCAGCGCAAATGTACATGTACATGTCAATGTCTATGATAAGTATGTTGCAGAGTCTTCATTAGTTCTATTGCGGCAGGATAGAAGTAACCGGCATTGAACAGCAGGGAGGCAATTGGGGTGGTGGAGAGTAGCTGAAAAATTGTCTTCTCTACTAGAAAAGCAAAAGAATATAAGATTTTTGTTTGCCTAAAATTTCGTTCATCACAATTGCATGACTACGACTGAAACTTGTGTGTCGCTTGCTCTGAGTTAGAATCTCGGCTTCTCGTGAACTTAAATTCTCATACTCGAATTTACAATGATCTGCAGAATACACATTAAATTATATATTGAGAATTAACCAGAGATTATAAAGGCTATTAATTGTGAAAATATATTATACAAACAAGTTAAAATTAATTTATGTCCAATTGTCAAACTCTTGTGACACATTATCAAAACTGTCTGAATCTATTCTGCTTTGTTTTTTTGTACTTTCTGAGTCTTCAAATAATATCGAATCTTTGGTTAGTATTATGTTGTTATATAACGTGGCATTTGTATCACGTTTCTAGAAGATAAAACGTTGAAACTCATTGAAGTGAAGATGAATGAGATAATCACAAATACCCTGCTTGTTGATAGAGTAGGGTTGCTATTTCTATATCTTGATGGATTTGATGGTAGTACATAAACAGAACACAATCTAAGATACACAGCCATAGTAATCAAAAATACGATCAAAAGAAGAATACATAACCACCAATATTTCTACAAAGATAAAAAGAGATAAATAGTCTTGAATAGATGATTCTTTCGGCTCTACTAACTTTCATCATATTTTTAAATGATATAATCGTTTTTCCAATACTTTCTGTCAATAGAGTTAAAGAACCTTGTTCATTTGTACTTCGACACCTTCCAATATCATCACAATATCCAAAATTATTTCCACATGGTGTACCTAAGAGTTATTACGTAAAAATTGCATTTCATTTTATCTGTTTTAATAAATAATAAAACCTGCTGGATGTTTGTATAAATAAGTCTGAGAGTTTGATGCTCGTATTTTAAATTTATATGAATCAATACATATGTTTCTCTTCGCTGAAAAAAAGAAAATTGTGTCAAAATTTCCTGTAATAGTGTAAGAAGGAAAAGAGACATGCATCCGCGTATCTTGAACCTTTTTGTTGATATTGCAAGACATAATTACTTACGGTCTATACAACCAATATGGCAAAGTACAGCTCTATTAATACTTCGATCTTTTAATGGATTTATATTAGGATTTGTATAATTTTGATCTATTTGACACTGCGATAAGCCCTTGAGAGCACAAATACTTCGGCTGCATTCCTGAAAATATAGAATAATGTTAATGATTATCTTTGTACTTCACAAGGTAATGATACTATTTCATATATAATGACAGCAATACTAAAGAGAATAGCTTTAAATGCAGTGCTGTATTAAAATTTTTCGTTTTATTATTAGCAAGATGGATGTTAAAACATTCTTACTCCGTTTTTGTCACAAAGACTTGAATTTCGATTGCAAAGTGTATTTTCTGGTTTAAACAACGTTCTAGGACATTTAGCTTGAGTTCCACTATAAAAAAAATACAATGAAATACTGAATCAAATACTATCATTTTAACAAGCTTACGTGCACATTTCACTTTTAAAACAAGTATCCTCCGTCTCTTTATAGCACATAAACGTGCCTGTAGGATAAAAAGTACATTTTGCGGAGCAGCATGGTCCTGTTGATGGACTATAATCAAAATATAATCCAATCTGAGATATTTGTTTTATTTAAACGATTCATATCTAATGTAGTTGATAATTTACCTACAAATAGCGCCAGGTTTACGTTTACATCCCATCTGATATCCATTTATAATTGTTTCTGCCGGATAGCAGCATTGTTCAGTACATTCATCTGGATAACCACAGTCACATTCCTCGTTACCATCAACTATTCCATTACCACAAAATGCGATTTTATCACAAGCTGAAAGGATTAAAACACTATATTCGCTCTAAAATCTATATACGTTTTATTTAACTAACTCTACTTACCTAAAAAACAGGATTTTTTTGTCTGTGATAGACCTAATGTAATGGATACAATAGTCCTACTCATGTTGTGTAAGGAGCATCGACTAAATTTATTCTAAAAATAAAAAACTATAATATTTTTAAATTTCACTTTCACTTTTTTGTTGCTTGTTATACATTATTCTTTGCAAGTCCATCGACGGCGTGTGCAAACATGATATAATTTCCATCTTGGTCTCCTGGACACAAATTGTCATCGTGCTAGAAAACAAAATTTGAATATAAAATTATATAATTTTGCAATTAGAGAATTTAGAAGTTTCGACATTTTTAACTAAACCGTAGCCTTGAACATTTTCTACGACATTATGAGCTCCCTGTTTTTTGCAATATTAAGTTTTCTTACGTCAAAGTATATATATATATACATACATTAGCTCCAAGCTAGAATAAAAAGAGAAAACAATGAACGACTATGAATTTAGTTGTATAACCTATGTTAATGACTGATGCAAAAAGATCGTCAGGGAAAACTCCTTGACGATACGTGTATCAGTTAAGGGTACCCTCTCCCTTTTTTTACCCTCTTGGAAACTAGGGAAGCCGATGTCGGATCGAATTCTAATTTATACCAGAGACAGAATATCGAAAATGAAAATCGATGTATTTTTGCCCAGAATTTTCTGACGTGTTCTTCTATGGATTTTCTGGAAAACTCCAATTTTCAGTGGCACACATTACGACCCTTCGAAAAAATGGTCCGATCGAGCTCAAAATTTTACCACAGATACTTCAGATCCTATCTCAGGTTCTTTTTTTTTTTTTTCGAAAAATATTCTTTCCTTCTCGAGATATTCGAAAAATACTGAAAATTCCATATAAAAAACAGGTTTTTCATTTTAAAAACCTTCTCACGTCGAAAGTTGAAATCGAAAACGCTTTTCAAAAAAAACGAACCTGAGATAGGGTCTGAAGTATCTGTGGTAAAATTTTAAGCTCGATCGGACGATTTTTTCGAGGGATCGTAATGTGTGCCAATTGACGGGACTATTAAAAAAACGCATAGTGAGAAAAACACTTATTGTACACAGGGCTCTGTTTTTCCGAGTATTTGCGCCAATGCGTATATCTCTAAGAAAACTAATCGGAAAAGACTAGAAAACATCTTATTTTGAAGAGCACACTTTCTCCTATCATGCTATATATAAGAAAAAAGTTTGAATATATAGAAAAGGAGAGAAAAATTGGCATTGTCAGAAATTGTTCATTACAGGTTTCTAGAGCTCACAGCTTTATAAGATAGTCCAAGACAGACGTGCAGCCCGACATGATCTTTCGGCAAATTTTTCAAGTGCTCTTGCTGAGTACATATGTGCAGGCATTTCGGCAAGGTCTAAAGGGCAGTCAATCTTTAAACAGCAAAATTTTCAAATGAGATCTGCTGGAGAAAAACCAACATTTTTAAATTTTAAAATGGGAGGGTGCGCACCCCCATGCACTCCTCCATCCTCACACCCCTGCAGCTGAAATTAGCTGAATGTATTACTGAATGAGATAGTTCGTTTCCTTACAGTATGTCCAACTTCATGCATGAATATAAAGATAACAGCAAATGACGACATTTGACGGCCATGATCTATAATGTAAAAGACACTCAATTTTTAAAGCGATGTAAAACCTGTGTGAACATTGCGAAGATCTGAAGACCAGGCGAGGGCATTATAAAAATTTCTTTGAAACTCCAAGAAATTACGCTTCTATTCTCCCCATTCACGACGTCCCTGAGCTTTACGCTTATTACTTACTAATGAGAGTCACCATTCCAGAGTTGAATGTGCTCAGGGTCGAAATTTTCATACTTTTTATTGTTAAATCGTACTCTTTTATGGATTTCGCGCAAACACCATTAGTACCTAAATATTTTTTCATTTTAAAATCATATGGCACATAATGAAACATAATAACGATTAATACCTGCTCTATAGCTTCCTATATACGCCAATCCTAACGTTCTGAAAGGGAAAAAGAAAAAGTAGAAACCTTAACTCCGTGGGCATCCCATATAGTCAAAATTGGCAATAAATCGACGCTTTTTAGCGATTAATCAGCCGATTTATCCGTGCGCTGAATCGTCAATAAATCGGTGATTTTATCGATTAATAGCAATTAATCGGCAAGTTTTTAGTTTAACAGTTATGGGCTTCTCGATTCAAAACTCACTCAAATCGAAACAATGAGTCAGCTTTGAGGAAACTACAGAGAACACTCTTGACAACTCCGTTTTAAGCTAAACTAAAAAGATAATCTGAAAAGAAGAACATTTCTCGTTGAAATCGTGTTTCTTATATACTTACTCTACGGCAGAATAAAACGATGAATAACAAAAAACCATGTGATGGCTTAAAATCAGTAATTAATCACAATTAATTAACCATCATTAAAAATACAGAAAAATCACCAGAATCGCTAATTAATTATAATTAATTTGCGATGTTTTTAAGAATGGTGATATATCGGTGATTTTTAACAATTTGCGATTTTTCATGCAAGCCGATTAATCGTCACCAGTTGTTAAAAATCGCCGATATATCGCAATTTATGAACGATTACAGTCAAAATTACGATTAAATTGCGATTTTATTGCTAATGACAAGTAATCGTTCAGAATGGAGCGATTTTAACGGCATGGGATATCACTCATATCAAAAAAGTGGAAGCAACAATCGTAATTTGAAATATAGATATATAAATTGGCCACTTTCTAGAAACAATATATCAGTATAACAATAATAGAGTATATAACAGATATAATAAGACTTGATGACGATATATTATTTGTTGACTATATATTTGAAGATGCTCGTTTTTCATTTGATATATGAAATCATTTTGATTCAATTGATGAAAGGCCGCGTACAAATAATCACTTAGAAGGTTATCATAGACAAATGAATCCGGATCTCTGGGCATGGATTAATGAAGTTCGTTCATCTGAAGAATCTGTTATGAGTCTTTAAGAACGAGAACAAGGTCAAAAACGTACAATAAGGCCAAGAAAAATAAAAAACATATGTGATGATGACAAACTTAAATTAGCAAAAACAAAATATATTCAAGATAAAGACTTTGACAGTTATCAAAAAGTTTTAAGCACTCTTTCTCATCGATATATAGACGTTAGAAAGCTACCAGATAAGAGATAGTAGTGACGATGACTAAATTTTTTGTTGATGTAACTTTTCTTAATATTATCTATAAATATATAGTCACCAATTCTTATTATATATGTTTCTACTTCTATTGTACTCTATTGTTTCTAGTAAGCGATCAATTTATATATTTAAATTTCAAATTACGATTGTTGATTACTCATTAATTAAAAAGTGGTCGCTTTTTTGAAACGCAGAATATGTAACTATACTCGTTTCAATTTCCGACCACTTTTGTACTAATTGAGTTAAATTCTGGTCACATTTAGGAAGCTACGCTCGTTTCGCCGAAAAGTACACTATACACTTAAAGAATTTCAGAGGTGGCTAGGGCGGTATGAGTGTGAATTTTCGGCAAAACGAGAACTAATCACAAATAGATGGAACATTTTCTATGAATTTAGAAACAAGACGAAGCGACTTTTATCCGCTAGTTATTGAATCACTAGATATGATTGAGGTAAAAAATGCTCGGAAAAAGTATGATCTACTAATGATAAAAAACTGAAGCCGAATCGTGAATCTTTTCTACATTTTGGCCTTCTTCCTAGTACTACGAATATTTAAATGCGATTAGTAACACACGTAAAAGCTTTGCTTCGAATTTCGAGAAAAAAAGATCATAGAAGGTGTTGAAACATATTGTAAAGTCTTATGAGATTTTACGATATTATCAGACAAGATTTCACAAGAATTTGATCATTCGAAATTTTATCAGATCTTGTACGAAAAAGTTAATGAGCTTTTACAGATCTTAAACGTAAGTCAAAAGTTGCACTGCACTTTATGCACAGAAGTACAATTCTTTTCTTTCTTCAAAGAATGGAAAAAACGATACGATTTCAGCAAGATAAATTTAAGATTTTTGTTTATTACAGGCATTAAAAAATAGGCCTTGTGCTATTAATCGATTTGGAGTTGTTTTGTTTAATTTTGTAGACTTTCGAATTGGTAACATGGTTATCAAGAGGCCGATCATCATCTGAAAAAATTCTGCTTATTTGCTGAAAGTTAATAAAGAAAAAAGTCAATAAGTTAAAAACAGCTTGCAGAATGATGTACAGTTTTTAGATAAGACTAATAAAAAATGAGAAAAATATTTGTTCAAGTAAATCGTATAGCTAAATTCCCTCTTCTGTCAATTATTGACTTTTTTACGTGTCTGTATTAACATACCCGTCTCCAAAATTTCTGGACGTAAACAAGAATGATAAACAATAACTACTGTAGTCTTGAGCAGCGTGAGCATTTAATACTGAATTTTGATCGAGATCAAAGTTTTGACAAAGAAATGCTTCTGATTTATATTTGCTGGCTAGTTCACAGCCTTTAATAATCTATGTGTTGAAAACTATTACATTTTAATTCATATAAATATCTACGAATGTAATGTTACCCTTAGCTGATGAACTTGTAATGAAAATCCATGAACTGAAGCACCACCATATCGGAAATTAATTTTTGAATAAATTAAATTACTGTAAAGAATTAGAAAAAGACAACAATCATTTTCAATGTGTATTTCTTTTTGTAATACTCCAGTGATACCTTGCTGCTATTGTAGTATAGATCAATGATTGTATAGCGTATTTCGTCAATTTTTCGTCCTAATATTCATGTAAGAATTTTAATAATCTGAACCTTTCTAAAACGTATGACATCTGATACTCACTCGTAATCCCACATCACTGTAATATTGATCCCATAATGTTTTGTCAGTACGAATGAACATTGAACAGCAAGGATTATTTAATTGTCGTTTTCTTCTGCTCATGTTAGTATAAGTGTTGTTTAATAATTCAAGTATAGTCTAAAAATGTATAAAACTAAATCTTTTCCTGATAACCTTTTGACACTTTTATTAGGTAGTTCGTAAACATAATTCAGATGCTAAAAGTCATTGAGTTGTTATACATAATACAGAATAAGGACAGCAGTTTGACTCAGTGGCAGATCCAGTAAACATGCGATCGTATGTATCTTTAAGCATGAAAAATTAATGTTCGCTCGTAAACCTGGCTGAGAAAAAGTTTTCTTAGAAATACGCTGCATAGACACCACATAATTTGGACGAAAAATGCCTTTTTTTCGCCTGTGCAGAAATACAGGTTCACCTAAAATTTCCGATCTCTTTCTAGCACTATACTGGGTTGAAATGGTGTCCGCACGGTTCACCCTTTTGCTCCTTCATTGTAGGTCTGATTTTCTTTATAATTTGACCATTATTTGTTGTCTTTTGCGTTCTTTTGTCGTACTCCACCATGGGACGAGTCTATATACCAGAAAATTCAAATTGAACGTTGTTAAAAGACAGTCAAAGAACAATGATGAAGAAGATCGACGTTTCACAAAACTGTGTCCAGGAAGATCAAGAAAGGCCTATCGTTGAAAAATACTATCTGGTGAGTCAGGTCACAGCCCAAAACGTTTATCAAGCCGAAATGGCGGTCGTTGGCTATTACAATTATGCAAAAAAGATCGAATGAAAAGTAGTCGACGACTTTTATTTGAGTGGATACTATCAAATAGCAAAAAAATGGCGGCTTGTACGGTTCGACTGATGCATAAGTTATGCTGCCAAACGCAAACCTCTTCGAAATGCATCACAAAAGGAGAGATGACTTGAATTTGCGAATATTCATATCAAATGATTGCCCGACGACTGGATATATGTTATCTGGAGCGATAAAGCTCATTTTAAATTATTCAATCGAAAGAATCGAACATTGGTCAGACGAACGATGAGTGAAAGTGATAAATCGTTTCGTTCCACGGACGCAAAATGAAGGTGGCAATGTGAATGTGTCGGTTGGATGACAAGTGCGAGCGGTCGTCTCAAAAATATGCAGTCAAAAAGTTTGACAGAGTTGAAAGAGGTGATTCGGCCATACCGGCAGATTTTGGTCCGAAAACTGATTGATCTGATACCACGCCGAGTGAAACGCTATCAGATGATCAAAGGAGAAGCGATGAGTAAATATTGATAATAGTGAAAAATTTTGTGATAAAAATTTAGGCAAACCTATATTTGTGCACACTCCTGTAGTAGAAAAAAACTCTTGAATCCACTTCTGATTTTACTTTCGCAGGTTTTCTGCAAAATTAGTACTGCTCTATTCATTATCTGTATAAAATTGTCTTTATATATTGGATTATAGATGTATTTAATATCAATATTCAAAAGATTTTTTTAAACTTTTAAAAGTTGAATTACTTTTTTTATTTTACCAGTGGCCAGATTCTTGATACGCATTAAATTTTTATCTAATTTTGTTACATCTTTTGTATCGTATATTATTGAGACACCTTGGATAGATGAATTATATTTTAAACTCGGTTCAATATAATATGTGGTGGAATTAGAATACTTGATCAAACCATCAAACCAGCTAGAATAAAATGCACCACACACATACGATGAGTTTCTTTGACCTAATTCAACGAAAAATTATCAAAATAATCTCAAAAACATTGTAACACATTAGCATCCATTAAACGCTAACATTCTGAACCTTCTATTCTGAAAATTTGGACTTCTTAGATTCAAGTAATCTTTACCTTCAACATATCCATCATAAAAAATATCTCGATCCACGGGAACGGTTTCATTTCCAAATTCAATCACATTGGTGCTGAATAAATCAGAGTTCTTCTTTAGAATCATTGTAATATTTCTAAACGAAAAACTAACAGGAGTGAAAGCATCATGTTTGATTTATGAATTAAAATGAGTATCACTAATTTTAAGTTTCATTTTAATGTTAAGAGATTGAACTTATTCCAATTATATTTTTTCCAATTTCATTATTCAGAAATAAATGGTTAAAAGATTATGTGAATGCTGCTTAAAAGTAAAGTTTGTAAATGTCTTTGATTTTACCAACTTGTGTTCAAGTACAAGCAATAGGACACGTGAATTGATCATGTCGACAGTGTCATTTGCCAATGAACGTTTATGACGAAACTTTTGTGTTTCATCATATACGCGATGAACAATATCGTATACTTCGATGCCATGATGAGTTAAATTAATGGTAGAAACTAAAATAATAATAAAAATCCTAAATCAATCCGAATAACTTTTCTTCAATGAAAGAATATTTTGACCATTCTAAAGACGAACATCTTCGTGGTACTGTTGTGTCCAAAAATGTAATGAAAGAAATTAAAGCCTGTTCATAATCTGGATTAATGCAAAAGAACATATTTTTGTTTAACGTTCCCTTACCTTCAATGATAATATTCAGAGTCATACAAATTATCGTCCATAAGATAGGTCGAGTTCTCATTTAAAACTTTTTCCTTCCCAAAAGTTCCATAGACAAAGTAGAATTAGAACTTGCTCAAATCTAGAACTGTATCAAATATACTAAATGTCTCGAAACATCGAAGTGTAATCTGATCCTGAAGGAAACTTTCTTTGTACATTCGAACCATTAGGTCTTCAAAAAGAAAAGACAAAATAATCTGATTAATTAGAACATGAGTACTTTGTTCATAACCAATACTCGTTCGAAAAATACATGGGAATATATAAAATTGTTTTGAATAATCACAGTATATCAGTGCTAAATAAAAATCGAAGAGGAGATGACGATTGAATTAGAAATTTCGAAGAATTGTTGTCAGACCAAATTTTAGCATTACTTAAACCAATTTGATTCAAAAAATACAGCCAGAAAAAAACGCTGTAAACACATTCTCTCAGTTAATGCTAATTATATTGCCTCTTATTCGTTGCATATTGAAACCGCGCAAAAATTATCCAATTATCATTGTAAAGTCTTATTAGGGTATAAATGTTCTACTTGTTCTGTAGCCGCAAGGTATTCTTGAATCCAAAACAATAGGTGGCGTAACTACTCAATACACTTGAACCTCAGTGGGTTTTTACTCTACAAAGTTCACCCTTAGTAAGGTTTGAAAAAAATTTGAATTTTTGACAGATTTTGTTGATAAAAAGTAAATATATCTTGTCGAATAGGCTGTTAAATTACTTTGACAAAACATATACCAAATGATATTGATAATTCTTTTCATCATTCAAATTTTTCTTCAATAAGACGACGTATTCTTACGAAACAGCATATTTCCCTATAATATCGGGAGTTTTTCTCGTATTTAGAAAAATCCTTGAAACCTTTTTTGTTCAAAATCTCGGATTTTTTCGGATGTATTAAACATCAAACACAAGTTAAAGCCTGGCTGTAGTTTATGTGAAAATAAAGCTGACTCAATGCTTGTTCAAATGAGGGACAGAGTCGAGTTTACACTTGTTTTTTTCGGCGTTGATCGACTGTGAAATTTTAATTTATACTATCTACGGGATTATATTTGTTTTTTTAATTTTATACAATCTCTCAGAGCGATTAGAAAGTTAGGCCTCATTAGGTGTCAAAAAACCATTGTACTATCCATGAAAAACAAGAAAATGAGATATCCTGCGGATAGTTCTTTGGTTCTATAAAATAATTGAATTGAAAAAACGTTTTTCTACATATATAAAGACTTTAATTAAAGATCTGCAATTGACCCAAATAAAGCTTAAATACGCCCCTATGTCATGATGAAAAAGGAAAGTGTTTTTCATCTTGTTTTCCTTCTAGAAAAATGAAGATATAAAGTTTTTTCATCGTACGAAGAACTATTTGACCTACCGTATTAGTGAGAATAATGGGTGGAGCAAGAATATCTTTGAAGTATTCAGAAAAAAATTCAGATTATTAAAGACGACACTTTTTCTATGAGCACTATTTAAAGTGCTCGGCGAGCAGTTCAATACATAAAATAAAGTTAGTTGAAACCATTTCACTGTACTGTTTTAGCAGAAAATCTCATTCAAATGCAACGTGAAATGATGAAACTATGTTCCATTAGCTCTTCATAACTTAAAAATCGAAAAGATTTTACAGAATTGTGTTCAAAACTCATAATACTGGATTGTTCTCTTGATTAATAATGCATATTTTGTTTTTTGTTTTATTTTATATTTACTTATTGCTTTTTTTTTCCTCAATAAAAAAACAAACAAGAAAAAGAAAGAAATAAACAAGCAAACAAACGGAATAGCATGAATGATTGAAAGGAATACAATTTATGATGTTGTATAGAGAAACAATTTTATTATCTCAAACTGATAAAATATAAGTGAAGCAGAGAGATCACCAGAACAGTTAATTATGTTGTATGTCAAGTATACATAAGAATAAAATTTTATTTTTTTTACATAAATAACATAGCAAATAAAACCAAAAGATAAATCAATACTTTTTATCTCCCTACGACCTAGTTAAAACAAAAAAAATATTTCAAAAAACAACATCATATTCAACTCATTGGTTTTGTTCGAAAGAAAGATATCAGCAATAATACATAAATATAAGTAATTAAATGACTTCTAGATGATGTAAAATGTCTTCTCAAACAAACATAAAAGAAAAAAAAGCTCGATGAATGGAAATTAAGTGGTTTCGACAGGAATTAAAAAACAATATGTAAGGAGATTATAAAATGTTGTGACTGACTATTATTAAATATAACGTGCAATTTTGTACTAGATCACTCATTCTGTAAAATAGATAGAAATAATAATACTTTTTTAAATCCGTCGATCTATTTTCTTTTCAAACTAAATTACAATGATTACATTAATATGACATCAAAGAAATAATATAAATAAAAACCCAACAACAGAAAAAAGAGAAACGAATGAGACAAGAAAAAAGTCGAATAAACACTATGTTATTTTCAAATCAACGCGCAAATATAGATGAAAGCTGGGTATGTATATATATATTTGTTTATTTGTCTGCATGCTTATACATAAAAAAAAAAAGAAGAAAACAGCGGGAAGAGACAAATAAAAAGAAGGAAAAGAAACATCAAATCATTGTAAAAGAAAAACTACTTTGGTCAAGCACACCGGGAGAACGACAACCAGACATAGACTCTCTAATTTTTAGTCGAATAATTTCCAGTTACATTCGGCTATACTTAGATTATTTTTACGGATACTAGCTCATATTGACGTTTTAAGATGCGTACGAGAAGATAAAAAAGATGTTTCCTATCTGTTATTTTCAAAGAGACTAATCACAAAAACATGCAAAAAAAAGTATTTTCTGTTCTTGTCTATTCAATGATCACCACAGGCAAATACAAAATACCCAAGCGAGAAACCAACTATTAATGCAATAATAAATGCAATAATTATCATTCTTTCTGATAAATTTATACCGAATAATGTTATCAGTTTTTGTTGTTGTTGATTGTGACCGTGTAATGTAGAATTATCAACTTGATTCATACCATCACCAGCAAAATTCTTACGTGATCGAACATTCATTTTTTCCTAAAATTAAAAACGAATAATATTAATATAAACAAATATTCTGACTTCTAAATGTATAAAACACATAGCTTGGGCAATAAACAAAATTATCGTTTGAAAAAAATAGTTTATTTTAAAAGTACTTGTTTTTAATCGGCGTATGTACATTTCCTATGTCACATGAAAGGTCAGTCGATGTTGTTTACAATGTGTTCTCTACTAGTGATTGAACTGCAAATAACAGGTGTATGATAGTTTGAGCCGGATAAAACCGCATGCAATTATTTTTTGACTTGGAGAAGCCGTTGATAAACTATAAACTACCGGGGGCCCCAATAATCATTATTTCCATAACCAAATACTAGTTGACCACTTATATTTATTTCTATGACATTTATACTTGTGGTAAACCATCGTCATATCTATTTTTTAATAATTGCTATTGCTAGAGTAGCTGAGGCTCGGTTTTCAATATAAATTACAACATCAATGAGATCTGTTACAAAATAGAAATATTATCATAGCAAAAAAAAAAAAGAGAACGGAAAAGGTAGAAAAGATAGCACTGCAAATTAAACAATACTATTCAATATTAGACAAAGTATTTTGAATTATGATAAATTAATAAATTTGTGTAATGATATATTGAAGCAGTTACATTTCAAAGAACAATTTCTTTTACGCAAAAAATTACATATGTACTTAACAATCATTATAGAAAGAAAAATAAGCACTTTTGTATGCAGAACATACAGATCAAATATCAAAAAGTATTTACACTTACTTTCAAGTTTTCATTTTCTTCCTTTAAACGATCTAATTCTTGTTTAAGACGTTGTTTATTCGATTCGTCTCCACCATCCTATGAAAGAAAGAAAAAAATCATTTAGTACTACTATCATTTTCCGTTATTTGAATTAAATAAGAAAGCAAAAACGAGCTATCATTCTTGCAAAATGCTTTGAGATACAGAAAATACTATTTTAAACTAATGGAAGCAATGCACATAAACTAACGAAGAATTTTAAGCCTTTGTCTGATATCTGCGTAAGAGTAAATCGAGTAGATATTGAAAATAGAAAAACGAAGCACAAGTCAAACACTTCCCCTTCCAGTGTTTGCAGAATTAACCCTTAACTTAAAGCTCATGCAATGCAGGAAAAGAGCAATTGAAAGAGACGTTCAATCCACTTTTAACAATATAGAATATGAATGAGCGAACTGCATAGAAACAAGCACAAACTAGCCATTAAAACAATCTATAGCTCGAAAAACTCCATGAGACAGGTGGTGACTGAATGAAGAGGCCATATTCTGAAACCTGTCGATCTCGATGTGTTGTTGCAGATAATGTTTGTTGTTGTTGAAATGGAGTTGTTGATCGTTGATTTGTCGATGTTGCTTCTGTATGATTAGCATTATGATACGTCTTATCGATCACATGATTTTCAATCTAAACTTTGAACGTAAGTGTGGGAAAAAAACAAGAAATTCATAAAAAATATGCTCATCGTGCAAGAATGTTAGCTCAATAAAGCGCACAGCAACCAAGTATTAAGCAAAAATAACTGACAATAATTTACATACGGGACGAGATATTTTCTGGAAAAAAGTTACAAACATATGTTTTAACTATCATACGATGACTCTAATAAACTTACTTGTGACTGAGTATTCAAAACTTTATCGCCATAAGTGGAGCCACTCTAAAGCAAGAGAATAGAAGAGAATTTTAAAATAAAATATTGTTTAAAAAAACATACAACATCGCCATCAGGATGTCGAAACGAATCGTTTGGTACGTTTCTGTCAGCAACACTTTGATCATCAGCAAAGACACATTTCAATTTTGAATCTTGAACATTTAATTTTGGTACATCTTGTTTCCACTACAAATAATAGTAACACTTTGAATTTCGAAACGAAAACACAGATCCATGAAGCCCGAAAGTTTTCAAGAGCGAAATCTATTAAGCTAACAAATATTTTTTCTTAGAAGCGATGTTTCGAGCCTTCTTGAATCCTTTTAGCTACACCTCTATCATGAAATGATGCATACAAAATTGTCAACATCGTCCGTCCATGTAGGCGGTACAGCAACCCATTGAACCATAAATTTATGTTTCGCACGTTCGTCATGTTGTCCACCAGCCGATTGAGGTTGTAGCATAACTGACAGAAAAAATAACAATAACATTATTTTAGAATAATTGAAAAGAAGGTCATTCTTCAGAATTAACCTTGAATATTTGTGCTGGCAGATGGATCTAGAAAGCCACTATTTGGCTTAACACAATATCGTTTCGGTGCTGTTGTTTTAATTTTATATGCCAATCGTTCATGGCCTGAGTTTGAAAGTTTCAACATGGTTGTCGACACATTATTAAATGGTCCTAAGAAGCAGAGATAATACATTAAAGAAAAAAAACTATAAATAATAGTTTATGTTTATACCTTTAAAAACGAGATCGGTACTTGGATTTAGTTCCAAAGTCATTGTTCAAATTAATAATAGTGAGAGTATGAGGAATAATTAAAGCTAACAAATAGAATTTCTTCAAATACAAGCACACACACACGCACACATACACACGTTAATAAATCAATCACTAATAACGATTGATTATCTTCTGACTATAATTTAGCTATAACGAAAATACAACAAACAAATCTAAAATGAATTTTATAAAAAAAAATTTTACACTCAACGACCTTAATATTTGGCATTTTTCTCATCTCAACTACACTTGTCTGTGAAGCAGAGAGTTTGACATTGTCAACACTATACTATCATATGTTAAATATCTATACTTGTTACTTTTGATCTACGTGTAATTTTTTTTCTTTCGATGACAAACAAAGCAATGAGAGAAAAAGGTTAATTTTTTTTTGATTTTTAAGCAATATACCATAAGTAGATAGATGGCAGCCATTTTGAATCTACACAACCATTAAGAATCAAAGCCTCTTTTCGTATGGTTATTGAAAAGGAGATGCATAAATTTGACATTTATAAACATTTATTCACTTGTATCCAAAAAGAACTCGGTAAAACAAGACAGCATTGGTTTAATCAATCACTTAACTCGCTATCAATGTCTTTCTACCGTCCGGGAGCAGCTAATGCAGCTAAAGCAGAAAACAGTGTTCTCCGAAGACGATTGGGCGATAGCGTGGAAAAAGAAGTTTTCTCTTGAGGACGATCTCATGGGAGTGTATTAAATGAAGTCAGAAAAGAGAGAAATCTACGAGAAAACTTCTGTGAAAATCTTATTTTCTTGTTATCTATTGAACAGAGCGAGAAGAATACATGTATAATCAATATGCGATATAGAATAGTCAGTCTGATGTTGTATTGTTTTCAAAGAAAGCCATTGTAATATGACTGAGATGGAAAAAATGCACTTATAATAATAATAATTATTTATTTTAATCATCGATGAATGAAGAAAAAAATTCATTGCATGATAGTTTTAGAATTAATGTTCTCCCTAGTGAAACGTCTTGTAACCAAGATCTTGACTTGTGAATTTTTTCAGTAAGATTTTGGTAAAAAAAATGTAAGAATTCAACAAATTTTAAAAAATCAAGATCTTGAACATCTTGTAATTGCTTGACTTCTTGTATCAAGATCTTGCTTAAGATCTTGAGTGATTGAANAAAAAAAATGTAAGAATTCAACAAATTTTAAAAAATCAAGATCTTGAACATCTTGTAATTGCTTGACTTCTTGTATCAAGATCTTGCTTAAGATCTTGAGTGATTGAATCTTGTACCTAAATTCTTAAATCATCGTTTTGTTTTACACTCTTATGTAAATATAAGTGAGAATATTTTCACACTTAGAATAACTTTGAATTTTTTTCCCTCTTAAACGTTGTTTGTTTAAGGAAGAGCCTATCTATGATTCTATATGGTTGTATATGTGGTGATTATTTGTGATTGTTACAAATGGAAACAAAATGTAAAGAAAATTTTTCACTTAAGACCTTGCAACATCCTGAGTGGATTCTCCATTCGCTCAAGATCTTGAAGTCCCTTTTCCCAATATATTGGGTACAGGAAGTTCCACTAGGGCTACTTTCGTTTTTCGTGATCTATTGGAATTGTCGAGATATGCACTATTTTACAACGATAAAGGACACTTTTTTGCTAACACTTTTGCTAATAGATTATAAATAAAACGAGAATAAACAATGAACCTATTTAATCCTTGTTTAATTCTAAAACTATCATATGATCAATTAATATCATTGTATTAACACAAAAAAATCAACTCGCTATTAAGCTTTTTAAAAACTTAATGATGAGAATTTAAGCTTCAGTATTTATTAGCGACGTGGTGTGAACGTGATCCTCTTGTATTAGACAGTTTTCGTCATCTTTTCAAAAAACTGTGACATATATTTTCGTGTACTTTTCAATAACTTTGCCAATTTTTTCGTTTTCCTATGGTTGAAGAAAGTATGCCTGTACACATAATCTGTCTTATTTCTTGTACGACTTTGGTTCTTGTTGTTTTAGATACATTGAAGAAAGAAAGACTTTTGAACCGTTTAAATTTATCTCTGTGGTGTATGTTTGAATATAACTTCGGTATTAAAACTAGAGTTTAAGCAGTAAAAACAAAATAATTATGCGTGTAGTAGTATTACCCGTTTGTTTATTGGAATCTTATCCTCACATCTTGTTAAAATATGATTTTCGTTTGAAACAACAATCTCAGGCCCAAACACAACAGTCATCTCAGCAAACACCATCAACACAACACCATCAACAACAAACAACACCGTCAATATCATCTTTACAAGATCAATATTTTTTAACACCATATAGTTCGCCAATAGGCGTTGAAGGTTCAGTAAAAACTGTATGTAATATTATTAGACGTTCACCAGTTCTTCGAAAGTTATTTGATGTTAAAGATGAAGAAGAAGAAAATCTTGAAACTAAAGTAAGATTTACTTTTATTCATAATTTATTAGTTTGATGAAAAGGAATATTGTGTGTCAGATATAGTATCTGTTGATAATTTAATATTACTTTTTTTAATCAAAAATCTTTATTAGTATTTAATTCTTTCGCAAGAAACTTCATTAAGTCTCAAGAAGATGTATAATAATTGATGAGATTTGTGAAACATCTTATTTCATTTAGATTGACTTCAAAGGCCATTGTCGTTTTATTGCATTTGGACCTGAAACGGGTAGGTTTCTTTATTACAGTAACTTTTCTTTTTAGTATTTTAATTTGATTCCTTACTATTCTAGATATATGTATATGTGCCTTATTAGTCGATCATATATCGTCTCTGGAATTAAATTATATTAATATGCCCGAACCGCCATTATCTCGTCAACAATCAAAAATCAGTTATAATCACTCTGTTTCTTCAACTTCAATATTATCATCACCCTTATTAGCTGCTGGTGATTCGCCAACACCATCTGTTGTTCAACGTGATCTTGTTCACTTATGGATATCGATTCGTGATATACGTCATAAACTAATTCATATTGATCGTGTTCTAAAACAACCAGGTAAATATTCTCGCCTACTCATATCATTTCAGAATTAATGTCTTGTCTTATTCTAGGCATTTTATCAAAATTAACACACGTTGAAAGTTGGGTTTCGTCTTATAATGAAAAAGATGGTTCATCTCCTTTACAAACTCCAACGACACCAAAAAATGGCGAATTGAACATTCCACCATCACCGCTACCTTCGCTAACTACATTAACAATACATCATGATGAAAATAGTAAACAAACATTGTCATCAACATCAAATTCTTTGACAGCATTAACAACAACAACACCCCAACAATCGCTACCCTCATTACCTACACGTTTGGTGAAAGCTCGTGCTCGTACACTTGTATGGGATGTAATGGAACTAAAAAATGAAGTTCTATATCCTCATCCAGGTTGGTACATGACTTTGTCTTGTGTAATTATTTACAACAACATTTTGTAAATTAAGGGGCAAAGTTAAAAATAGCAATTTAAGAATAGTTACGGCTAACATGTTAAGAATTTTAATAAAAATTAAAACCAATAATCAAAAGTGCAATTCGAGATTTCGACCTGTTGAGACGGTCTAGATGTAAATGAAAAAAAGACGAGAAAAAACATTAGATACATATAGTCAGCTGTACTGTGTTCATTTTTATGTAACATTCTGAACGAAGAGCAAGTTGAAAATGACCGTATCAATAGACCGAAACAGCGAATTGTAATTTTAATTGTTAGTTTTAATTTTTATTAAAATTCTTAACGTATTAGCTACAACTATTCTTAAATTTGTAATTATTCACTTTCTACAATATATTTGATCTATATTTAGTTCACGGTCGAATACCAAATTTTCGTAATAATCCAGATTGTTCAGCAAATTTAGCTCAACTAGAGGAATTTCAACGAAGTCGTGTTATTCAAATATGTCCGAGTTTAGCTCAAGAACATTTACGTTTATTTTCATTAGCAGAAGGAAAAGTATTATTAACACCATCTCCATCGATTGATGTTGCATTATTTTATAAATTAGATCCAAAATTTTTGAATATGCATGAGTTATCGCGTGCTGCCACAAAATCTGGTCTGTATTATTTTGAATTTGTTTAAGAATTGAGAATAAAAAACTCTTTCTTATTGTAGGTACAGCTGCATTGGGAACAGTTGTCAATTTAAGTGCGGTGGGAAATATACATGTTGATATTGTCGTTGTAGCATCTGTTGTTGTTAATCCAATCACGGGTGCTCGTCTGGGAAAAGGCAAAGGTTATGGTGATTTAGAATATGCAATTATGCATCAGTTAGGTAAATACTTGTCCTTGTTAGATATTTTGAAGGTTAAAGAGTTCAACTGATGAAGAATCGTGGAATATTTTCCAAAATTTTGTTTTCCCTTTGTTTTTAGGAGCATGTGATGAATCAACAATTGTTATTACAACTGTCCATGAAACCCAATTATTAGACGATTTACCATCATCGGTTATGACTGATCATGATCTACCTGTTAATGTCATCATAACACCACAACGCATTATTTATACTCAAAATAAATTTCAACGTCCTAGTAAAATAAACTGGGATGAAATTGATAATGATACAATTTTAAATTTACCGGTATTAAAAGAATTTAAACGTTTACAAGAACATCAACAAATTCAACAGCAAATGGTTCTAGTCTAAAATTCTATATATCAATTACACACGCATACACACGCTCTTTCACACATATTTTACTTTGGTGCTTTATTTTTCTCTATTTTCTTATGATATTACTTACTATAGGACTTATCTTTTAACTTGTTTTTGTTGTGTTATTTTGCCACATTTTTTTTTTTCTCAACTAGTTAATACCGGTGAAACTGTCTAAACGGTGCTTCTGTTAAATGTGTATCATTCTGTCTGTTTCTCACTTACTGAAAAAGAAATTCTTTTTGGTCTTTTATTTTTATCCTTAGTTAAGATTGTGATACAGGCCTATTTATTCACTGTTTTAGTTAAATCTGTAGAAGAGATGAAGATTTGATAATGGGACGATAGTTATTGTTTTTTTCATGTTACTTCTCATTTCATTGGTGCTGATATTGTTTGTCTTCTACGAGATCATCTACTTTTATTTCACGAGAATGTATCTTATATATTTTTGGTGCTGTTTTTTTTTCTTCTTTTTTTTTTTACATTCAAAACGATCAGATAATAGTCCAAACATATTTTTGTGTGTAATAAATTTTTGTTGGTTAATACAGAGCATTCAGAACGCTCTTTTTTCATGCTCAATTAAAGATAAAAAGAAACCTCAGAGAGATTACTGCACCCGTGATAACGTTATCGCTTTCTGCTTTAACAAAAAAGGGTTTTCGACTGGTTCGATCAATACTGTGAAGATCCAAAAATCACAGATAATTAAAACGACTGAGTCTTCGATAATTGTTCATTTTTTTTTGTGTTGTTGTGGACTTTTATTTATTTTTTTCTTCTTTATTTGTGAAAAACTGTTGTTCGTTTTCTTTTTTTTGTTCTTTTCTTTCGTGTCTTATTTACCTACTAGTGTGTTAGAAGAACATGACATGCATCATCTTTTAATTCTGAGTGCCATGAAATCAACCATGTTGAGGCTCAGTTGTCAGATGACGTGGGTGTCTTTTTTTTTTTCGTTTCTTATTCGATTGATTTAAAAATGAAAATATAAACAGTTTCTTTTGAGTTGTTGATGAGATTCACCATCATTTCGAAATAAAAACAAGATATAATTAGAGATGACTCTTTTTTGTTTAGAGGAAATGTCAGTGACTATTTTATAGTTTCACATACACAATCCTCTACACATGTTCGAGTTGTAAACGTGCATTTATTTAATCAGTATCGTAGTCATCAGTATACGTGAGAATAAATATTAAAAACTGTATTACGTGCTGATTTTAGTTAATTTAAAAAACTAGTTAATTATAAACAATATCTAAAAGAATGTTAAACGATTTTCTAGTATGATTGAGCCTGTTTTTCTTTCCGTATCAATCAAATTATTACAGTCAAGATAAATTACAATTGAATGATAATAAGAAAAAGCGATGTTTTTTTGAATATATTGTTTAAATTTTTCTTATGGAAATTAATATAATGGTTTGATTAATCAAAAAATTCGATGATATGAGCTCAATAAATAGTTCAGATCATTTTTAATCGAAATAATTGGTTTATTGGTTGTTGTTTTGAAAAACAGTCTATTGATTATCATTCAAGCATAAAAAATATTAAATGTAATACATAACTGGGATTATATTTTACTATGCAGATAAGTATCGTTTTTTATCATTTCTTTTCCCATCGTATTAAAAGTAATAACAGAAATATACATACTAATATAACGTTTATTCTAACAACGATAAAATGAGAGACCAGTTTTATCGCTTATATAAAACAGTTTCATTTACTTTTTTGGTGATACAGCTAACTCTCAATGATACGTGGTACGAGTCGACACTTGTTTTGACTAGATATAAATCTATACGTCTTATTTTTAATTGATTTAATATCATTTTTTTCTATCTATCCCGAGTCAATAATATGTTTTTTTTCGGTATTTGGCATTCTGTATAGTCGAATGCATAACAAATGGGGGAGCATTAAGAAAAATAGCAAGATGAGTGCACATTTTTCTTTTCAATAACTATAAATAGAAATAAAAAAATTTATATGATTTCATTTGTGCAATAACGCTAAAAAGAGGTTTTAATAATAATGATTATACCAGTGAATAATCGTACGAGTAAAAATATAAGCGGATAACTTGCGACAGGTAAACAGTGAAGAAGATACACTCTCAAAAGAAAAAAAGATTCCATTTAACTAGTTATACGACTTTCTCTCAAGGTATTAGGTTTACTACGTAAATTCGTCTGAAAGTAGTCTCTATATGCATTGGGAATGTCTAATTAAGAATTCCCTCCCAGCTTTTTTTTGCTTTACATTCGATTTTGAAAAAAATTTCATCTCTTCATCTGTAAGTCATCTCGAATTATTGCCCAGTGCGGTATTTTTTGACTAGATATCTCAAACCAATGCATTGTTATCAAAATGGTAGGAGTCATAAACACAAACACGAAAACGCGAATTTTAAAATTTTAATAAAATAGGGAAAATATGCCGGATTAAATTGTTGTTTAAAAGTATGTTTTGTTCTAAAACACCGCATTTGTTTAAGACTCGACCTTTTGAAATATGCCGCACTGGATGGCAAAACACGAATCAAAAGACACTCTTCAAATATTTCCAAGGGATTTTTACATATAAAGCATTAGAAATGTTGAAACAGTGTGGTCCACGCATCACCTTACTCACAGTCACAACCACCATCACGCTCATCCGTCAGTAGTAAAATCAACAGAAGTTGTGTACTTAGCGTCATTGTATCGTAGCGTCACCCACGTCCTAAAGTCGATATACCTCATAGGCGGTGGAACCACTAGGCTGGGTAAGGCTCAAGTCTTACCCGAATTTGGCGCAATTAGACTGAGCCTTACCCCATTTCACTATTGGATACGAATATTTACACATTTTGTGTTTATGTTGATCCCCAGTGACTATTTTCTAGCTGAAGAAATTCATTTTACTCAGTTTTGTATCAAGATGAGATTAGGTCTGGCTCAGCGGCAGCTCTGGACCTTTGAGCACCACCATCTAGATTTTTATAAACGCTTTCTATTCAATATTAGGACTGTATATTTTTCAAAGAAAAAGAAGCTTATAAAAAACGTGACTTACTAAGAAAGAACCTAAGAACAGAGAATAAAATAGGCGATAACCGTTGTAGGAAATGTAGTTGGAACTGAATCGAGTCCAACCCATTTAGCTTTCTTGCTCCTAGCAGATGATAACAAGATTCCTGCATAAAATCTTTTGATACCTTCAGTTGCTGTGAACTTTTCACTGCCTTCGGCTGTGTGCTTTTAAAGACAAATGAGATTTATCCTCAAGAAAACAGCTTAAAAAGAGTTAGATTTCTAAATCTTATCCTGGCCGTTCACTACTGAGACTGAGCCTCACCTAATGCTATTTCCTAGTTACATCACTAATTTTACTAGAGAAAACGTGTTTGAATTCGCACCGCTTTTGAAGCAAATAGCACAAAAAGGCGCCTTTTAGGCTGAGAAGTTTTATTTCTTCTACTAGAAATCATTATCATATTCACCTCTGCTTTTTATTAATAACCAAAAATATGGGAAATGTCGCAGAGGAATGCCTTAAATTGAGATTTAGCCGATTTGAAATCGTTCCGCCGCCTCTGATATACCTCAGACTTCTATTTCATATTCTCTAACAATATTGGTGTTGCGGAAGTTTTATGCATGACAGAGCACCCCTACCATTCGAATTTGATAGAGTAAAAGTCAAACCACTAGTACACTACTAAATTTGTTCATGTTTAGCTTTGTCAGGAGTATAATTGTGGTTATAAAAACTCTGCTAAAGGTTTCCAAAAATGTCTAAGTTCTGTCAATGAATAGATATATGTTTTCATTTTATAGTACAGTAATTTCTGACTAATCAGTGAGCACACTTTTTTCTTTCTGTAAAACTTGCCATCGGAAAAGTGAGTAACCATGCCATCCACTTTTCTGTATTTTACATCCGGTAAAGCGGATGAATTTTCTTTATTTATCACTCACTCATCACCCACTTTACCAGATCACAATATTGGACAGTTCTAATATGAACTCGACACCTACATATACCATCGATCAAGGCGTTTTTTGAACTTCTTTATTAGTTTTTAAGGTGCATTTTAACTTGGAAATCCGAAACTGTAAACTTTTGACACCTGACGAATCTCTATTTTAATTGTAAGCAAATTCCTAAAATTGCCTCAAAAATTACGTTTAAGTTTGATCTTTTAAACAAAAAAGTTTAGTATGATACATTAAATACTGTGTGAGAAGTATTAAGATTTGCTGAGTTGATCTACACTATTTTGTATGGTTTAGGCTTAGATATTTTGTATGAGGAGGCTGTCAATGGACGCGGTTTGTTTATACCAATACGACAACGTCTACACTATCATTACCCAGATGCCCATGATGCTGTTTCCAGTTCTTATGATCTAGTCTAGTTACTAAGATACACTGTTCTACACTGTAAGAAGCGACCTCTGCAGTATAGAATGGTGTATCTCGTTGTTCAAATCCGAAACTTTCAATCCCATGAATTTGTGTTGTAGAAATCGAAAAAAACACATGAAATCTGCTAATGTTTCGATGAGATATCGCGCCCTGTAAACGTGAAAACTGTTAACACTCATCGTTTTTTGCCTTTCAGTTTGATTTTATCATGAATCCCGGCGTAAAAACAAGCATTGAACTGTTTATACTTAAAACTAAGATTCACATCAGTCGTTAACTGTCTGTTAGTATGCCATTTTGGAGCTGGTAAAATATCAGAAAAAACTACAGCTACAACACGGAAGTCAGTTGCGAACATAATGCTGTTAAAAAATTTTAAAAAATGGTGATTTTATTTATGATTTATATAAAAAAGTAAAGAAATGATCGTCATGAAAAAATCTCAAAATTTTCAACGGGTAGGATGAAGGCTCTAAGATTGCCTGAAACTACAGGTCAAGGATCCAGAAACAGCTAGCCTGCACATCTCTGGTCCTAAGGAACCCAAAATATTGAAATTTTGTAAATTCAGTTTTTGTGAGATTACTAGCTAGAACAAAACTGACTTCGGCAGATGTTCAAACAATAGGTTGTTAACAGGTGGTAATAACGGTCTTAAGACGAAAATACCATAAAATGTCCACATTTTGATCGTAATAAAACCGTTACTTTTCGGCATTAAAACGGTCCCAGTTTAAATGCATAAAAACGGTCAAAAAAATTGTCTCGGTGATCTAAACATGTCCATTTATCAAACATTGGATGGGTTATTAATGGATGTTTAATAAAAAATTAATTACACCGTTTTCGACGTCCTGAGTAGAATTTCATTATTCTATCCAGATGACTTCTTTTGCCTTCTATAGTCTGCATGAAAAATAAGCAAGTTTTGCATTAGATTTTTCTTTTCTGTCTTGTCAAAGTAGACATAGTCATTCAACTTTCAAAACCTTCATATATTACTGTGAAGTTTGTTTTATTTTTATCTAAAGTGAAACTTTGTTTTTAATACAATTCTGTTGTCTAGTTCTTATTTGTTATAAGAACAGTACTTATTCCAGGTATAGCAAATTATCAGAACCATTAGAAATATAATTATATAAACCAAATATAGTAGATTTATTTGTAATTTGGTATGCATCAGTTTTCTTCCATCTCGTTGATAAAGCGTCATCATTAGCATTGTTTTATTTTTATTACTGTTATCACCACACAATCCTAGGTGATTTTTATTGTTAACTAAACGGTTTCTGATATTTTCACTGAGATTTTTAGTCCATTTTGGATAATCTTGTAATTCACTATAAATGGGTAATGACAAACATAATGGAAATTGTTCAATTTTTGGATAATAGTAGAAAAATGCTTGACACATTTCATCATTTGTATTATAACCACCTCTTGTCAATGATGTCTGATATTTTGTTGAATAATCACAAGTTAACACTATTTCATCATTATTTGTGAGATTTACACTGATATCAACTGTTAATTGTTTATTAAAATGATAAGGATTTTGATCAATTATTATTTGAGATTTTTTTCCTTGTTTTTCAATCTTTTTTATCCATATTCGTTTACTTAAATGATGAGCATGTAATAATACACGAAAAACATTTAGAGTTTGATTGTTGGCTAGATACTTCTGCATACAATCATTAAAACAATATGTTCTAAATGATATGTGATCTAAATACGGTGGTAAATAAATAGTTGAATTAACTAATGTTCCTAATGTTAATAGACCTATTTCATATTTTGGTTTTGATTGAGAGTAGTAAAAACGGATACCTGATTGTTGTCTATTAATAAATGGATCGTAATGTATTTCTAATAATAGATATGTTTGTGTTTTTAATTTTAAACCAGTATGTTGAGGATATTTATATTGAAAATTACCACCTCGACCCCATGCTAGTACTATGCGTGTTTGACATTTTTCATAGAGTTCCATGGGCATATGTCTGTTCTCTGAACCACATATTCCAAAATATTTACTAGATATTGTTGTCATAGAGTTGGCACATTCATAAATCAGTAAATGATGTAAATTATCGGTATAATTTAATATTTCATAACTGTTGACATAATGTGGATAATCATTATTCAACGAATATAAATAACAAAGATAAATTGACTTTTGTTGTATTATAGAAGACAGATTTATTTGAATTGATGTAGATGGTAAAACAATATCATGATAATCTTTTGCATAAGATTTTGTTGTTAAGATAACTAAAAGAAATATGTTAATAGTGATAACTTTCATTGTGATACACAAATTGACTGAGAGAGAAAGAAAGAAAGAAGTATAGCACATAGAAAAAATTTTTTTTTGTTTTATTTTAGTAGGCGTATTATAAAATCTATTGAATATGGTCTAATAAAAAAACAATTTTGTAATACAATTGTCATTAATTGAGAGAAATATTACCTCATTGATTGTTCACTCTATTGTTTAAATCACTATTTTTTTTTACTAGACTATCTACAATGTGCTTTTTAAACGATTAAATCTTATTCTCAGATTGAGTGTATGAAAGATTTGAATCGTGTTACTATTGTTCAATGATCATTTAGAATCATTATGTCAAATTATTTAAGAGAATTTATAATATTGACTGAGTTCGCTTAGTATAGTGAAGATTCATAAGATATTGTCGACAATGATAATCAATCACTACATGATTTTGCAACATTTTATCCACTAAGATAATGTGATGACTTTCTTGACTGTTTGAGTGTATTTTTACGATTAGAATAACATTATTAGGTATTCGTTCTCAAGTTGTTCTCTCATTTTTCCAGTTTTTTTGAGTGCCATAATATTAAATGATGTTTTCTACTTTCCCTTTTATTGTTACTTTTTGCTTCATACATGTTATCTTAGTACTGATTGTATGTATCTTAATTCGGAAAACAAATGTTAAATAATGATAACTGTCTATTTGTGTTCTTGAAGTGAAAACTATTAGAACGTTATATTTTACATTTTTGTCTAAAGATCATCATATCCATTCTGATTATTTATAGACTCTTTGTGTAACTAAAGCCTAGAGATTAAGAGAAAAAAATGATATTTTATAGTTTTTCTAATGATAGAAAATCATATTCACAATTAGAAAAACCACAAAATAGTCAGGTAGTCTGTCTGTCTATTGTTAATACATTGAGCAAAAAGAAAGAAAAAAGAAATCGTGGAAACGTTTATCTAAAACATAGGTAGTTAGAAAAACAAAACAAATTGTTTCACCAAACATGTGAGTTAATGAAAGCTGTCAAAAAAATCAAATAAAGCTACATAAAATAATCTCTCTCTTTCTCTCCCTGCACAGTGGTGGCAAACATTTTCCGTACAGTCGATAAAAATCTTTTTTTTACGTTGTACGGATTAAATATGAAAACACTACATTAGTCGATAGTACAGAGCGTGAGCTACATTTTGGTAAAAGAATAATTTTGAAAGGCTTTTTCCTTAGGATGAAAATGTAACTTTAAATCAAAAGTGCCATACTCTTCAGTGTGACTGCTGAATCTCAGAAATGAGTGGGTGAAAAAAAAATTCTGATTAAGCCATTCGAAAGAGCGTCCAAAACTGAGTAAAGATAAATATAGTGTGGAAGTTAAGTAAAGGAATTTGATCCATCTACTGTTTTGGATCTTAGGACTATTTTTAAAATATCTTTTCTGCACGGGAGAGTAAACATCTTTTGGACATCCTTGTGTTATCATATCGTCAAGTAGTTACTGTATAGGAGTATGAAAAGAGAATTTAGACTTTTTAAGTTCAAAGAGTTTTTGAACATTAAAACCGACTTTCCATCTATCAAAAACTAACGTGATATACGTGCTCAGTGTCAGAAACTGTGTTTAGTGATGTGTCACTGGAAGTCTAGCAAAAATTTTGCTTGACACAAATGTCTTTGTTCGCCCGTCAGGTGCTTAGTGAGTGAAACACTCCCAGGCGTTATTTTTAGATGAAAGAAAAAGTTTGACTAGATTTCGAGTAATAAATTCTTTCATTTAACTTCCACATTATATTTATCTTCACTCAGTTTTGGACGCTCTTTCGAATGGCTTAATCAGAATTTTTTCCCACCCACTCATTCCTGAGATTCAGCAGTCACACTGAAGAGTATGGTACTTTTGACTTAAAGTTACATTTTCACCCTAAGGAAAAAGCCTTTCAAAATTATTCTTTTACCAAAATGTAGCTCACGCTCTGTACTATCGACTGATGTAGTTTTCATATTTAATCCGTACAACGTAAAAGAAAGATTTTTAACAATGGTAGGGAAAATTTTTGCCACCTGAAAAAGTTCACATTTTAGTCTAATGGCCCTACAAAGAGCAACAATGAATATTTCTAACTTTTTTGATCTGCAAATATACTAGAGAGAGCGGACAATATTTTGGTACAAACCGATTGTTAAAAGTTTTTTTCGTTACTGACTTATCATTAAAAGGAAAAGAGGATAGAGGTGTACGGAAAATTTTTGCCGTCAGTGTATATACACAATTCTTTTAGTTTTTTAAAAAAGTTCTTGTTTATTAGAAAAATAAATCGACGTAGTTGTTTTTCTGTGACAAAGAATATGTTGACATTTTACGCTATTTATATAAGAACTTGTCTAATATTATCATTACATGAGTGAACGTTAAATACACTAGAAAAATATTTCTTTTTATAATACGGATTAATATTGTCATGTCAACCAGTTCATTTTTATACGCCTATCGCATGAGAAAACTAAAAATGGTCTCGTTCTGGTTGGCTAAGCAAACAGACTCAGATTCAAGAACACTTTTTTAACTAGACACTTAATTAGAAATCCTATTAATTTGTCACTTTATATCAGCTATTATTCATCCAATTTAATCTCAACTTACAGTATCCAGTGAATAAAATACATCGAAAATCCGATCAAAAGTATGTTTTTGTAAGATTTTTAGAAAATTGAAAAATCCACTTTCTACACTTGATGAATCTCTTAGACTCTAACCTTTGATTCACTTTTCACATTCTATCTAACATTTGGTCAAAAAGAATTTCATCTCTTTATTAGGTTTTTCAATATAAAAATTGAATATTCAAAAATTTAAGTAACAAAACTTAATATAAAAAAATCAGACTTATGTTATTTTTAAAAATCTCTTTTATTTAAAGTAATCCTTAATACGATTATTCTGTTGAAAATATTTAAACACTTGTAGTTTTAACTTAATAGGTTTTTCTTTGTTCTTTCCTCATTTACTAGAAATCCTATAGTCTATTCTATCTTTTTCTTTTGTAATATAATATATATTATATATATTTTTTGCTTTCTAACTATTACAGAAACAGATGAATTATTTGATACAATGATAGAAAGTCATTTTCGAAAGAGTATTAAATACACAGTAAGAATGATAAAAATTGTTCTTCAAGTATACATGCAATCAAAAATTGACTATTATCTTCTTTAATTACATGTATGTTGTTTCTTCAATTAAAATTGATCATTGTTGAAGTATATTATTCTTTAACAATAAAATGACTCTCACAAACTAAAAAATATGAACAGATTTATTTTTTGTTTGTCCTTTAAAGAAGAAGAAAAAAAATTGACTAAATTATATATTCTTTTTTTTTTTTTTTTGTAGAGAACATTGTAGTCTATTTGATGTAATAATGATAAATCAATTGTTAATTATTATTTTGTCTAACATAAAATTGTCAACTTCTCTTATATTTGATATTATTTAAAAAAAATAAACAAACTGTGTGGAAGAGGAGAATGTGTTGGAAATATTATAATTCTAATCTATTAGAAAAAAATGACCGATGAAAGACGTTTATCTGATCATCGAAATGTTGTTAGTGGATTATATACATTAGATCGAACAATTGGTAGAGGACATTTTGCCGTTGTTAAATTAGCACGACATGTATTTACACAAAAAGAAGTGGCCGTAAAAGTAATTGATAAAACAAAATTAGATGAATTATCAAAAGCACATTTATTTCAAGAAGTTGTGTGTATGAAACTTGTTCAACATCCAAATGTTGTTAGATTATATGAAGTAATTGATACACCAAATAAATTATATTTAATATTAGAACTTGGTGATGGTGGTGATATGTATGATTATATTATGAAATATGCAAATGGTTTAAATGAAAATATGGCTAGACGGTAAAGAAATTAAAATTAAAAAAATGTCTATTATTCATATAATAATTGTTATTTTCAGATATTTTCGTCAAATATGTCGTGCATTAAATCACTGTCATAAAATGCATATTTGTCATCGCGATTTAAAACCAGAAAATCTTGTATTTTTTGAAAAACAAGGCATTGTTAAATTAACAGATTTTGGTAATGAAATAGATCGAAAGATTTTAATAAATTGTATACAAATATTATTTGCTAATATAGGTTTTTCAAATCAATTTTTACCGGGAAAAGAATTATTTACTAGTTGTGGATCACTTGCATATTCAGCACCTGAAATTTTGCTTGGTGATCCATATAATGCTGAAGCTGTTGGTGAGCTTAATTTTTATTGACTTATTTAATTATTATGTAAACTTTTATATATTTTATTTTTATTGATCTAAAGATATTTGGTCACTTGGCGTCATATTGTTTATGTTCGTGAGCGGACATGCTCCATTTCAAGAAGCGAATGACAGTGAAACAGTACAGGCAATATTGGATTGCTGTTATATAGTACCACAATATATATCAACAGAATGCCAGAAGTAATCGACCATATAAGTCTATAGTTTTAAAAGTTTGTGAATATTTTATTATCATATACGTTAACTGTTTTTCTATGTGTTTAGTTTAATCCGTCGAATAATTGTGAAAGAACCCGAACAGCGTGCAACGTTAGAAGACATAATGAATGATGTGTGGTATAAAAATCAGATGATAGTTGAGGATGATCTAAGCGACGATGATGATTATATCAGTTCTTTATCATTAATTTCTCATAAAACAATATCAAATGATTATAATGAAAAAATTTTACAAGAAATGGTCAATGGAAATATTTCTGAACGAGAAGAAATTTTAAAGTAAGTAAAACTATATGTTTGTTTTTTTATTAAAATAAATTTGGGGTTTTTAATAGTAACCATTATGATACAATTTTTATTTCAACAATTCTTTTTCTTTTTTTTTATTTGTTAGTCAACGTTTCAGTCTCCTTATGGAGACATTATCAAGGAAATTTACCTTTGAAATTATTAGTTATACTACTAGTAGTCAACCGTACATATACTAAGACCGAACATAAGAGAAAATACAAGAAAGAACGTTCTGAATGAACATATATGACGAGAAGAAAATGACTGTTCGTCTTCTTCTTTTTTCGCTTTTATTTTGTACTCTACGATCGGAATCAAACTTTCTTGTTCGAGAACATCCATTTGGAAAAACGATTAAAGGAATTGATCTAACTGTATTGTTGAAACTTGGATTATACTTAGCAATAGAGAGAGACTCACTAATCAATAAGTGATATTCTACTGGATCTTGATTAATTAATCGCCATTCATCCCAATTTATTGAATGACCAGTCTCATCACAATGTTTCGTTATAGCCACAGTTTTGGAAATTAAAAGGATTTAAGATGAGAAGAGCTCTCAGATTTATGAAATTTAGCATGTTTACTCATTGCAGTAATTTATATTGTTATAAGGGCAATCGCTACAGTTTTAGCCTGTCTTTGAGGTTTTCCATTCAACGTCGATGCCCATTGGCAAGTATTGGTCGCTATAGAAGGATAGACGAAGTTCGAGTGCTGTTAAAAACATTGTAACTAGTATGTAATGAATTTATATTAGACAATAAAGAATGATCCTTAGGAAAGCCATGTTCTCTGAGTCGTCGACATGTCTGGCGTATTGTCTTTCCCATATGCGTAACGTCACAATCACCATAAGAGATATTGTAAACCACATTAAATCACATAAGTTTTTCTATTTTATCTTTTTAGTCAAATGCAGCTTGGACTGATGACGGTAATTTCCGAATGACAGTCAATTCAGTATCAGGCTGAATTGTTCTAGTAAATTTCTTTAGATCATGAGTGAAATGACTTGTAGCATTCTCAATAAAAGGAATCTGAATAAATATTTTCTTCTGATTCAAATCACTAGCATTTTTATCTGAAGTAGGAGATGAGGAAAAAAATACACCACCTTGAGAGCTTCATACAATTAGTATCTTGACAAAAGATTTTGAATATCCATTCTTCTTTGCAGTTCGTCTAATCATATTAAGTTCATTATGTAGAAGCGATAAGTTGAACACATTCATAAAGCGCGACGTACCATTCCCGTGATGACAGAGCGTTTATATAAAATAGCAACGTACGAGTTCCATTTTAAACTTAAACCAGTAAACTTGTGTTTATGAAAAATAGTGTTAACTTATTCGGTATTGGTACGTGTGATTTAAACATCAAGAAATGATTTCAACTGTAAATTTCTTTGATAATGACTCTATGAGGAGACCAAAAGTTCGGCTAATGAATAAAATTAAAAAAATTTTTGTTCAAATACAAACTGTACAATAATGGCTGCTGTTAAAAATGCAAATTTTGTTTTACTGCAATTGTTGACTCTCTCACACTTCAAATTTTGTTTTTTATTGTTAGATTGATAATTTCTTTTACTCTTTTTTTCCAGTTCACTAAATGAAAATCAGTACAATCATATTACAGCAACGTACTATCTTCTAGCCGAGAAATTATTGTATAATCAATTGTACAATGATAATGATAAGGAAAATATTCAAAAGAAACGTCGCAAACATTTACTACCAACAAATCAACCGTTCACAGAACAAATTAGTATTTTTCTAACACCGACATCAACGAAGTATGTTAATTAAATCATTTAGAGATTAAAGAGGAATAGAGATATTGCGAAATATTTAGTTATAACTCTAGTGATGATTCTAAAGTTAGCAAGGAGTTTAATGATGGAGATGATGATATGAGTGATATTGAAGAGTGGAACTTGTAAGTAGTAATACTTCTCCACTTTTCTTTTACAAACGCACATTATTGCGTATTACAGTCATACTCGCAAATGCTTCAGGCTTCGGTTATTTGATTATTATTTTGTGCATCTATTGCTTGAAAAAGTATAACATGATAGAACGCTCTTCACAACCATTTATGTGTAAATTTTTTGAGTTTTATAGTACAGGTCGATGCATTTTTATTTGGCTTGACTTATAACACAATTCTTTTTTGGTATTTTTTAACTAACGTGTCTAACTTATCACGCGTGAAACTATGCTTTGCATTTCATTAGAGAAATTCAAGAGATGATCAAGTTAATCAATTTAGAAGCCTTGTTTTTTTAGAATAGAAAGAGAAAATGTTCTAACATTGCCCCAGTCAAGTGAAATTACAATTCCTAGACTTACTCCACCTGAATCTCAATTGGCATTAATGCAAGGTATGAAGAACAGTGGTTTGACTTAATTTATTTTTCATTAATTCTTTCGTATCTTCTTTTTTTGCGATCAGATGATGAAGACCGTCTGAATGCAACAGCATCAGCATCACAATCACGTTTATCATCAGTACGTGATCCTTCTACACAAGCAATGAATATCATACCTGAAGAAGATGAGTATAGTGAGTCACCAACTGAGTAAGTTATAACCGACTTTTTTTCACCGTAGCAACGATCTATTCTGATTTTCTATTCTATTTTAGTAAAGCATCTCCAGAAACCAATTTACCACTTCTCAATATTTCGAAACTTAACAAAATTATTGAAAGTGGTAAGAGTAACAACTTTTGTTTAGCTTACTACGATAGTCGCACTGTAGTTTTAACAAAGATGTTTCATATGATATTAATGAATGTGTTGTAACAGATTTAATAGTGCAGATATTTTAGTCAAAATAAAAGCAGAATATAAAGATCCTTCGCACGATTTCGACGGATTATGTTCAGAAGAAATTCAATCATAAAATTTAGTTGCCACTTGCTTAATGAGACTAGATAGACTAGACTCAAGAGATTTAAGGGTACTCCCCCCTCTCTTTTTTGCAGAAAAGTTTTCTTTTTGAGCTGAACATAGTCTAATGTAGAGGAACGTCTCGGCTATACGATGAGACGACTCCCAGCTCTCCATGAACTTCTTTGAAAAAATTATAAAGTTTTTCTTTCAAAGCCTAGAAAATCTCAACTTTTTTTAGGTTCGTAAGTTTTTCTCTCCTTTTCTATATATTCAAACTTTTTCTTGTACATAGCATGGTAGAAGAAAGTGTGCTCTTCAAAATGAGATGTTTTCCAAAATTTTCCGATGAGTTTTCTCGGAGATATGAGCATAGCCGCAAATACCCTGAAAAACAGAGCTCTGTGTACAATATGTGTTTTTTCAATAGTCCCTTCAATTGGCACACATTACGATCCCTCGAAAAAATGGTTCGCTCGAGCTCAAAGTTTTACCACAGATACTTCAGACCCTATCTCAGGTTCGTTTTTTTTAAAGCGTTTTCGATTTCAACTTTCGACGTGAGAAGGTTTTTAAAATGAAAAACTTGTTTTTTATATGGAATTTTCAGTATTTTTCGAATATCTCGAGAAGGAAAGAATATTTTTCGAAAAGAAAAAAAACGAACCTGAGATAGAATCTGAAGTATCTGTGGTAAAATTTTGAGCTCGATCGGACCATTTTTTCGAAGGGCCATAATGTGTGCCACTGAAAATTGGAATTTTCCAGAAAACCCATAGAAGAACATGTCAGAAAAGTCTGAACAAAAATACATTGATTTTCTTTTTCGATATTCTATCTCTGGTATAAATGAGAACCGGATTCGATGTCGACTTCCCCGGTTTCCAAGAGGGTATAAAAAATGGGGGAGGGTACCTTTAAAATACCTAGACTCGAATAAAGTAATGAACATATGGAGACAAAAATGGAAAGAACTCATTTTGAACTTTACTTTGTTTTTGCCATACAAACACTAAAGTTTGATTTCTTTGTTTGTTTAGAAGAAGAATCCGATGATTTTGATAGACAGGCACCGAAAATCGTTTACTCAGCAACAAACAAAACAAATGAAACATTAAACTATGATTCGACATTTGAATTACCTTCAACAGATTTATCTTCGATTATCGGAAAAAGTTTAAATTCTTCTCGTAGCCACTCTAGTGTAGATTCCGAAGATGACAGCAATGACAACTTGAAAAATAAACAATCTCATCAGTCTCCTACCATGAGGCCTAATTCATTGCAGGATAATGATTCTCGTGTAAATCATTCTCAATATCGTGGACGTTCATGGAGCAATGTTGAACATGTACTAAATTTACATTTACTAGCAACATCATTGACAGGTAGTAGTCAATTTGGAGATATGCGTCGTAGTTCTCTGGCATCAAACAATCGTCTAACAATAAATGGTGGAATTCTCGGTGGATCAAATAATGATAATAACACAAATATTTCATCAACATCAATATTAACCAATCGTACGCGAAGTCTAAGTATGGAACATCGTCTAGCTAATCAGTCTCAAATGTCTATAGCATCCCGAACGTCCACTCGATTTTCTACACCACGAGAATCTATTGTGTTTACTAAAATGGACACTCCTCCAGTAATTCGATTGTTGCAGGCACAATCACACGATAATGAGTCGCTGCGTTCACTAATTGAACATCGTCGACAATCTACCCAGTCGCATCAAGAACATACGCCAATTATTGAAAAAGACGCAATACTAAGGACTAATGTAAATAATACAATCCCAGCAACGACAGCTAATACTGTTTTACCAACTATAACAGCATCTGCCACAAAAACGAACGTAATTCACAATCGAAGCGGAAATACTACTTTATTTCCAACAAAATCGAATGTTATTGTGCCAGCAATAACAAACGTGAATGGAAATAGCAATAATAGTCAAGATTATTCATCGTCATCTTCGTCTCCTCAGCAAAAGCGCTCTGTTCTTTATGCTCTAGGACAGTCATTAATCAATTACAAACATCATACTCATCAAAAATCGGACATTGATGGCGATAAAATCAAACATGAACATTCAGCCGATCATATCAAAAACACAAATAGTATTAACGAAAAAAGAGCAGCACTAATGAACGATGATAGTTCAGATAAAAGACATATTTGTTGTACAGTTTTATAAGGTAATACGTGGTATTTCTTTTTTCTGTTCAATTTATTCGAGTTCGTGTGAATTTCGTATGTTGTTGTTATCTCATTATATTACCTTAATCTTGCTTCTTCTTTAATAATTGGCGTATGTTCTTCATGAGACTGTGTAGATTGCTGACGACGTTCAATTAGTGAACGAAGCGACTCATTATCGTATGATTGTGCCTGCAACAATCGAACGTTTCGCTATCGACAGTTCGATAATAAAAACAACTTTATCGATCGAATGAACATGTTTGTACGAATAATATTCGTTTGAAATATAAAAATGTATCACTTTATCTTATGCTTCATCGTCGATGGTGTGTTTACATGATCGTTTCGACTCCTGAATCGATAGTGCATTATGTACTAGTTGCTGTTATAATCTCTAAACGGTGATTTTAGTCATGTGCCGTAAAAATGAATTTTTTAGGTATCTACATTTTGTATTACATCTGTTTTCTCTCATAAAAACTGACAAACCAAACAAATTCAGCGATCTTCTTAGCGAAATAGATATTCATCAAACTGCAGAAAATGAGGCAAGAATTAACTTTGCTTGCAACATTGGACAAAAAGAACTGGAACGTAGCGATCACTACTTAAATCACTATGAAAAATACAATGCGAATAGTCTCAAAAAGAGAAACAAAAACAAATTCTTAGCATTTACTGTAGTTCAAATTTGTCTTTGCTACTTTCAGAGTTGTGATCACAATTTTGATTTAAAGCGATTGGTACTCTATGGCTGATCAAACAACCATTTTTTCAGGTCTGATTACATTTAACTACATTGATTGATTTATTCCTCTGTTATGGCTGTCAGATCTTATAAATATTCTTCGTCAAAACTATTTTCTGTACAGGTCTGTGTGGATCATCATACAGCCAAAGAGATCAATTGATGCAGTCGAGTAGAGCACAATACTTACAACTATCTTAAATCGTATTCTAGTTTCTCAAGAACTGCGTTTGTTTCCTCATTTTATCTGTAGTCAAAGACTTTCAAAAAGATTCAGAGTATGGTAGAAGCAGTCTAAGTCCTAGACTGCAAGAGCCATATAATATTGACATGGATGAAATAAGAACTGGAATTTTTGTAAATAAAGATTTTTTATAGCTAATAAAAATTTAACTGATTTTTCTTTATGTTCGTTTATTTGCTTCGTTAAGAATCGTCCAAAGAAGTGAAAATAAGATAATTATATAGAAAATTTTATGGCCAGCATTTTAGTAATAAACGTCATTTTTGTAATTTTTTTCTCTTTATTTTTAAATTCGTGTAGAGGTCAAAACATCTCAAAAAATTAAAATTTTTTCCCAGCGTTAGTCCCGAATGTTCCACTGAACAAATATTTCAGAATTTGTACTTTAGAATAAAAATTTAGCGAAAGCGACGCCGAATTTTTTTGATGACTGGAATAGCGTTTAGAAAAGCTTAGTTCGCCACATTTCTGATGGATATAATTTGCATGTTCCTTTGTGGTTCTTTGTAAAAATCAAAAAGAACACATTGAAATTATGCTAAGATTGAAAAACAATCAACATCAGCTCATCTCCAAGTCCGCTAAAAATCTCTCAACTTCGGAATTTAATTTCCCAGTCTGGAAACAAAAGCTTCATAAATTTAATGTCAAAAATGTTGAGTCAACCGTAGTGCATAGAATACGTTAAAAAAGTATAAACTAACCTGAAATAAACATCCCATAGTTCAATAGAAATCGCCGTCTTGTATGTTAACAATAGGCAAAAGACTTATGATGGAACAAGTCAGAAAGATACATAATTTTTCGATCAGCTATTCAAACTTAACACTAACATTTTCTTCATAATCATTTCTTTTTGTGCATTGATTCTTGTTCCATGGTTTCTGAATCTTCCATCTTTTATTTTTTTATCTATCTGTTTTTACATGCTTACTGATAAACTATATTATTTGTTGATTTAGTTTTATTCTCACTCGTACTGTCAAATTTTAATAATAAAATTATCGTGTATGGTAACAATGTTTTCAAACAATTTTCATTCAATATATTGATGTTTTAGTTAGATTCTTGGTAATATGGCTCAATTTTTTACCACACGCAACTATTATCAAGTATTCTATCGTATGTAAAATTAAATTCTCATATAAATGCTCAACTATAGCCTTTCTCGTTTTCTATTCAAACAATCCACGATACAACGTCATTTTCACTAAAAGATAACAAAAAAAACATTTACTCTGTGAAAACAGCATGTTATTATGGGAGATAGTTTGTCGACGAGATTAGAATCTTCGTATGTGTGTAATGACTCATGCAGTGTCAAAATTTCGTACATTTCGTTGCAAAACATTTGGAAAATTGAATGAAGAATGATAATCTCGATTATTTACCCAAGCATGCGGATAATGTTACGTTTCCCTGTGAAATCAACAATATAAATGAAAGCGATGTTGACACACGCATGCATCGGTGAAAGTGAGAATGCATCGCTTCAATTAAACACATATTAAAAAGGCCGAGCAATTATTCAACCTTATTTCAGATACGCAGGGCATTGTTTATTTACTATTGTTATCGTTTGCTCTTATTATTATTTATTCTCACCCGTTTCTCTTACTTTTCGTTACTTTCTTCTAAACATTACCATTACATTAATAAGTTTTTCTTCAATCATATTTGAGTTATATACGTAAGCAAATCAGCAACTTCATTGGACGAAAATTTAACATTTAATCAACAAAAAATTAAAAGAGATTTTATCAACTAACTGAAGTCAAGGCACTTTACAGTTAGATCATATACGATTTTTTTGCTACTTAGTTGATACTTAGAGGGTTTAATACAGCGCCCTCTATCGCAGTGAGTGGATACTCAACATACAGTACTCCACAATAAACTCAATTTCTTGAATTTTTGCGTTGATTATAACGGTTTGTTCCTCAATTCTCCCAGTCATAATGTGTTCAAGATATTTGATAGAACTAAGCCGAGACTTAACTTTGGGTCTTAACCGACGAGTGTGTCGATAGTTCTCCTTCAAGTGTTTGGTAAGAAGACGAAATGTGCAAGAAATCAAATGTGCAAAGTGCAAAATGCTTAGTTGTAGAGAATTCATTCGATTTGTATTTTAAAGAAATTTTCCAATGTATAACCCTCTATGATGGACACTTCTTCCTTTCTTTCTTTCTTACGCCATGACTCATATCAATTCGAAAGAAACCTGAAAGAAACAATGAGCTATAGTCATTCGTATAGGTACGTCGTCTGTATTGTTGTCATAAAACGTGGTTATGTGTGTGTGCTGTTTCATTTCACTTTCTTTCCACTTCAGTCTGTGGGATCTTCTCGTTCTTGTTTTTCCCGTTGAACACACAAGATGAGTGATGAATTGACGACGATGAATGTCGTGTTTCGATTCATCACAGAAACTTCTGGAATGATGATTTTTTTCTGTTTTTTTCAAAGGAAAAACATTTCAACATTACATTATTATGTCGCGCAATGTTTTTCTCTCCAAAACTCAACTAATGCCCGTTGTTTCTTACTTTTTTTATAATATTGTTTTAGAGATTTAGATGGATTAAGCACATTGAGAGTTTAAGGAGGAGCGATTTAAGATAGTTGTAAGTATTGTGCTCTACTCGACTGCATCAATTGATCTCTTTGGCTGTATGATGATCCACACAGACCTGTACAGAAAATAGTTTTGACGAAGAATATTTATAAGATCTGACAGCCATAACAGAGGAATAAATCAATCAATGTAGTTAAATGTAATCAGACCTGAAAAAATGGTTGTTTGATCAGCCATAGAGTACCAATCGCTTTAAATCAAAATTGTGATCACAACTCTGAAAGTAGCAAAGACAAATTTGAACTACAGTAAATGCTAAGAATTTGTTTTTGTTTCTCTTTTTGAGACTATTCGCATTGTATTTTTCATAGTGATTTAAGTAGTGATCGCTACGTTCCAGTTCTTCTTTTTGTCCAATGGTGCGTTGCTTGATAAAAGGCGGCAACGAATTTTGTTTTTAATAGTACATTCCTGACGATAATACAGTATCAGTTTATCGGAATTATCTGTACTGCTTTAATTCTAGATTGCTGTATTGTGTTTGAAATCTCTAAATCTTATTTTTCTTGAACAAAAAGAAACCGAACAATCAAATGGCTCAACCACAACAAGCACCAGAATTTAAACTTGTTTTAGTTGGAGATGGTGGTGTTGGTACGCATTCTGGAAGATAATATCTCTTTTTTACTATAACTGTTCCGTATTTTTAGGTAAAACAACGTTTGTGAAACGACATCTAACGGGTGAATTTGAGAAAAAATATAACGCAACTGTTGGTGTTGAAGTGCATCCATTACAATTTCAAACAAATCGTGGTTTGATTGTTTATAATGTTTGGGATACAGCTGGACAAGAAAAATTTGGAGGTAAGACCTTTAGATGTCGATAACTTTTTTGAATTTTAATAGTGTGTTTGGTTTCTTTAGGTTTAAGAGATGGTTACTACATTGGTGGCCAATGTGCAATTATTATGTTCGATGTGACGTCACGTATTACATATAAAAATGTTCCCAATTGGCATAAAGATCTTATTCGTGTTTGTGAAAATATACCAATTGTATTGTGTGGTAATAAAGTTGATGTTAAAGATCGAAAAGTTAAAGCCAAAGCCATTACATTTCATCGTAAAAATAATATGCAATATTATGATATTAGCGCGAGAAGTAATTATAATTTTGAAAAACCGTTTTTATGGTTGGCACGAAAATTGGCTGGCGATCCAAACTTAGAATTTGTTGGTATGTATTCGTCTTTCTTTTCTCTCTTTGGCTTTTGTTTAGACTAATATAACTTTTTTCTTATAGCTATGCCTGCACTTATGCCACCCGATGTACAAATGGACAAAGAGACAATTCAGAAATATGAAATTGAAATACAAGAAGCACAAAATGCAGTCTTGCCAGATGATGATGAGGATTTGTGAATGATTGTGGTAATCGTTAATATTTTTTTCAACAAATAGATTTAATAATTTAGGTAAACCAGAAAATGAAGATTAGGAATACAAATCCAGCACAACATCAATACGAGGACAAATTTTTTTCTTTCTTTTTTTGTTGCTGTTAATACACTTATTTTTCGCTTTTCTGTTCATCTATAAAAACATTTTGATGTAAAAAAAACACAAAAAAATAGTCACTTTTTTGAAAAGTAATAAACAAAGGAAAATTAATTAAACACAGGCAGCAACAAAAGCTTTCTCCAGTGCTGATTTCTCTTTCTACAGTGAGCTAATTGATACTAACTAATAGCACTAGTTGATCAACGGACTGACACAGATCTTTATTTTATAAGTTTTTGATCATATTGTCAAGCTTCAAATACCAGATACAGCGTTTGAAAGATTATGGATTTTTTAATGTGAAAACACATTTGATAGAAATTATAAAAAAATAATCAACAACACGTACGTGTATACAACGTAACATACACAGTGAAAACATAAATTCTATATATTGTACAAAAATACATCAAATGACTAGTTAAAAAAAGTAACAAAAATAAAAATGTATGTTCAGTTCGTCCAATATTTTTAGATTAGTTCAAGATAGATTAGGACGAAGCGCCATTCACAGTAGTGAGGGATATTGAGGATGATGCCAGTACATTTGCCGAACAATTAGAAGAAAGTGTGAGTGATGAAGAACGCGATGAATGATGATTTGATTTTGAAGAGTGATTTTGTTTCGATTTATCATTTTCTCCACGAGAACATGAATGAAAAGAATTAGATGATGATGTTCGTGTCAATGAGAGCAGATTATCTTGAGTGCTTAGTGGAGTAGGTAAATCGGTTGATGGCGATGTTAGCGGTTCTGAGTTGTGAAAGGGATTTAAAGGTGCAATGATATCTGTTGACGTTTCATTCGTGTCCAACTTTGATTTACTTTCAATAAAATCTTTCAAACTAACTGAATTTAAATCATGAGGTGTTTTCGACGTTGGATCTGTAGAATAATTTTTGATAGAAGAACGCATTCTTGATAAATGTGTAATATCAAATGGTGGTGCCCATGAGTTTGGGGGCGAAGTAAAGAATCTGGGATCACATGCGTTCATTATCATTGCAGCAGATGGATCAATAAGATAAGAATAATTGAAAATGTTAAAAAAAGCTGCATGTTGTTGAAACATTTGTTGTTGATTTGGTGATAAGAATGCATTAGGTAAACTGTTACAATTTGACATTCTTCGCTTAATAACTGTGGATTCTTCTTCGCTATGCGTTTGTGAAGTATTTTTGGATGCTTTTTTTGTTTTGTTTTTGCTTGTTGAAGACGTCGAACAGGATGTTTTACGACTACGTTTAATGAGAATATCTTTTATTGATACCTCTTGTTTATCTTCCTTTTTACTAAGGTCATCTAAACATAAAAAAGTATCGAATCCAGTCTATGAATCTGAATAATGGAAAATCAATTACTATTTTCGTGTTTCGTTGAATATTCTTTGTTTTTATGGGATGATGAAGATGTTTGTTCAATTACTCTGCTGCCATTCGACTCTTCTTTGTGATATGGTTCACAAACTTGAACGATTTTCTCGTTAATCGGTAATATCTTTGACAGACGTCTCTTCGTGTTGGGTCGTAGAATACCAGCATCTCTAAAAATAGAACACTTTTTTAATAAATCTGGATAAAAGATCTTTTACTAGATTCAACTTACTCTTTTTCAGCGATTTTATTGTTTGATATTTGTTTTGGAAGGTCATCGATTGACATGACCATCTTATTTTGTTTTTGTTCTATACAATTATTTATCGTTGAATTTAAGGGTGAAACAGTTGCAATTGGTTTTACTAATTTTAATATTGGTCGTCCAGCATTAGATGTTCGTCCATTCTCTGAACTATTGCTATTAATGGATGTTATAGATGTAAATGTTGGTTCATCCGTCAACACTTTATTTGCTTCTTTAATAACATCGGAATAAGAATGAGTGTTTCTCATTTGTGCACTATCATCTGGACGATCAATTATTGGAGACAAAATTTCTTCCTTATGAACATCAACTGATTTTGAAATAACAAAATCGGATGATTTTACTGAACAATATGGCTTATCAATCGAATGATCTGGTGTTGCTTCAACAAAATCAATCGAAGATACGTCACTCCTAATTATTGACAAATCCAAATTATTATTCACTGAACATTGTTCTGCGCTATCATTTGGTTTCATAATATAAGAATTACAATTAGTTGGTGAATTCATTGTTTTTATTTTCAAATTTGTTGTATCATCCAAAGCATGTTGTCTTTCTAAAATTGAACAGCCACGTACATTTATTTTCGCACTGCTCTTGTCAGAAAATCATACCGTTTGTAGGTATCTCTAAATTCTGTTTTTTTGTCTCATTTTGATTATCAGATGATTCGTCGATGATCGCTCTAAAATAACAAAGACCATGTCACAGAAACCAGTAGTCTGATCCATAAAAGGAATTAAAATTGTTTTCTTTTCTTCCTTTATAGACATTTTTTTCTAAAGATTGGTGAGAGAGTAGCAGACTTAGAAACCTTTTGATTGATTGATTTTGAAAAAATTTTCTCGTAAATATTATTTCGATTTGTAGATACCATACCGTTTGAATATCTGTGGCTTTATTTTCATAGTATCTTCATCATTATCAGCATTGTGTTTAGTTGTTGATGTATGCGTCGTCGAATTTAATGTATAATTGATCGGTGTGGCCATAGATGTAACTGTATTACAATGAAGCATTATTGCATTGTGTTCTTTCAGTGGTATAATTTCATTTTCAAACTGTTGTTGTTCTGTTTTTTGTAACAAAACTTTATTTGGACTAATGGAGGATAAATTTGATGATGGTGTTATAGGAAGAAATGAACTTAGACCATTGAATGACGTAGATGTTGGTGAATTATTACTTGTATGAGAATAATATGTTTTGATTGTTGTTGATTTATGTTCATTATCTAATTTCTAAACAATAACAATAGAAGAATGATAATTGTTAATTTCACTCATGATGTTTTGTTAGAACTTACGACTTCAGTTTTATTCTCTGATGGTGCTAAATTAAATATATTTGTTCCATTTTTTAATATCATACCAGCTGGTAATGCCAGTATCGTTGCACCACGAGGCATAATCAATGGTTGTGTTGTTGATTTTACAGTATGTTGTTGTCGTTTGTGTTCACTATTAATTCGTTTGACTTTTCGATTATATTTTTTTTTTATTGGAGTTATAATTGAATTCACTTTACATGGACTTTTAATTAGAAATGTTACTGGCAAATTTTCTGGAGTCAAAGATGGTTGTAAAACGGGTTGTTGTGTTTGTTCTTCGTTGTTATTTTCAATAATTGTATTTATTTTTAAACTGGAACAGAGTAGTGTTTCTTCTATCAGCTCTTCTGATTGTTGTTTATCATTTGTAACAAGTGTTTCTTCATTACTTTCATCTAAAAGATCTTCTTGATACTCTTTACGTATTCTATAAAATAGATGAAATTGTGATGTTTTCTTTCTTCGCCAACCGTATATATTTACTATATCGTTTAATGTAAAATGATCTTTGATTAGTAGTTCATCATACATAATATCAATGATTAAACGAGGAGTTATATCGGGTAAACATAATGATTTTTTTAAAAATTTTTTTAGTATACAAATAGGCAAATTTGATGAACACTGTAAATAATGATGATGAGATGATTTATCAATTAAATTTTTATTAAATTCATCTTGTTGATATGGTTCTGTTTTCACATCAGTCACTAGAGATTGTTGCTCATCGTCAACAACATCACTACTATTTGTTAATTTTCCTTTTTCATTATATTCAATTAAAACGTTCATTAATTCAACTATGTCATCTGTTTTCAATATTATTTCACTTAATTCTCCTAATTCTTCTTCGGGAAAACAACTGTTTAATTGTATTGCTGAATCGTTTTGAGAATAAAATTGACGTCGTTCAAACATTTCATTTTTAAATAAATTTGGTATGATTTTATAGACAAGATATTGTAAATTACGATCTTTTTTCAACGATAATAGAGGTTTAGCTGGATGAGGAGTACAATAACATATTGGACAAGTGTTATTTTCATCATTATTAAAATAATTCACAATACATGTACGACAAACTAAATAAAACAGAGAAGAAGAAAAAATAAACAAAATAGTTCATATAATCAATATTTATAAACAACAGATGTTATTTGACATACATGAATGAAGACATTCGGTAATGGTACACGCATCGATGAGATATCCGTCACATAATTTACAAATAAGATATTCATTAAGATCATTTACATTTATTCTATGTTTAATACTCATTCTTCCACTGTAAATCTAAAATGTAAATTGGAAAAAAATTTAGAATGATATAGTAGTTACACCTTTTTCCGTCATATAAAAAAAAAAAAGTTAGAAAAGACCAAAAATTTTATCATATGGCTAAACAACGAAATGTTGTCCAATTGTTTTGAGCTTTTCAAGTATACATAGTTTCAATCTTAAATTGATTATTAACAATTCGTTAAAAAAAGTTGAATAATAAAGAATCTGTGCTACTTGTGTACTTACTTCTTTTTAATGAAGGAAAAAATTTATTGGATATCGTTGTTTCAAAAAATTAACTTTTTTCTTTTGATAAAACGTCACATGAATGAAGCCTCTAATTGTTCAATGAGAACTTTTTCATTTATGTTTTTCTCAAACAATATGCATCTCAACTGTACAGACTGGACGTCAGTGTAGTCGTTCTGTAGTTTAAAAAATACTTACGAGAGACAGAGACAAAAAGAGAGAGAGAAAAAAAAGCTACTAAAGATACACTGTTCAGTAACGCTGCCCCATATACGTGTGTATGTGTATATATCATAATCATAGATTTAAAATGTTGTGCATATGTTCAAAAAAAGAACAGGAAGAAAAAGGGGAGAGGGAAAGGAAAATGTCCACTTTTATCGTGTTGAATTTGTGGTCATTTTTTTCTTTTTCTATGAGTCGTTCGCTTGTCTAGTTTATAATAATATTCTCTCATTCTCCTATCCAACTGGTTCATTCCGTGACATCGCGCACGTTTGCGATTATGATTACTTTTCAAGAGAAGAATCGAAAAAGGAAAAGAAAAATAAGCGAATAGAATTTTATGTCGTATCAGAATTGATTGTAAAACTCGATTGGCTCAATTTATTCAAAGAAACATGATATTTTTTTCTCTCAATTGAACGACTTTCATCATTTATCAGATCTAATGATTGAATTCTATAAATTATCACCATTACTATTCTATATTCGGAAAATAATTACAAGGTGAAAAAAGAAAAGCTATGATATAAATGATTGTTTCGTTGATGAGAATTTCAGTTTAAAAATAAAGTAACGGACGTAAGTGAGATAATTTGTTATGAATAATTATAGATTCTCTAAATGAACTTTTCATAATTCAAATCTATGAGACAATCTGATTGTAAATGATATTTAAAAAATTAATAATCTCTGATAACTTCTATAGTATTATTTTGAGAATAAAGACTAAAATTATCAAAATGTTGATTTATTATGGTTGATCAATCAAATCCGAGCAAAATATTCATAAATAATCAATATGTTAACAAATGTTAAAGACAAATATTTCACATATTCTTTTAATAAAATTAATCTGGCGACAAAACAAAATTAAAAATATATAGAAGTTTTCACATGATTTCCTCTTCAAATGTCTTTACTAGATTCGTTTCTGCCATCGTTCGGAGAGAAGAGTTTCATAAGATTTTCTGCGTGAAAATACTGTTACAAGTAGTTATTATAAGTAGTTATTTTTTATGTTACATTACTGTGTTTCTCATCTGTTTTTTCTTAACCCTCTTTGACGAAGATTTAATTCTACGCTTTATGGAAGCGAATGTCATCTAGTGACCCATATATCGATGAGAACTTTAAATTGAATTTGATATTGATGTATTTTATTGGACAATATTCTTAAGTGCAGACATTCATATGAACAGCTCACTGTCTAGACTGGACTAAATCGAAGTTTGGGCGCCCACATATAGATTAAATCGAGTTTGAATGAAAGATGCGTGAAACATATCACTGGAACAAGAAAAATAAAATTGGTTTGAGTTGCTGAAAAGTGCTTTTTCGTATCCAGCACCCTCAATAACCCAGAAGATTTTCTATTTTTGACGAGGAGTACTTCCGAAAGTACAGGAAAAATTTTAGAAACAAAAGGGCGCCAAAAAATTTTCATGGAAAAATAATATTAGTTTGAAAATCTTTCCTAAACTTTTGAAAGTACCCCTCGCCAAACGAGTGTGCAAAAAAAAAGCACAAACAAAAATGCACTTTTCAGCAACTCAAAACGAACTTTATTTTTGTTCCGGTGATATGCGAATCGACAATGAGCGGTTGTTTTAACTGATAAACACGTAATCAGGTTTGAATATCGTGACTATTATTATTTATGTTACATTGAAAAGCTGTCAGCCGGGAGCAATTGTCCCTCCTGGAAAAAAATATCAGGGACAACCCACTTGTTCTGTGAACAGAGGTGGGCAAGTCCGATCACTTCCAAGTCCAACAGAATTTTTTTTTGTGAAGTCCGAATCAAGTCCAAATTCGAGTTGAAGTTCTTCGTAGCAGTTTCTGCACTATACAGTATGTCATAATCATATGTGACGGGTAAATAAATTTTATCGATACATAGGTGCATGTTTGACAAGGATTAATAAATTAGGTATCAGATTATACTCATTCCGTTGTTGAATGTAAAAGATTTTAAACTCTTGGACTTCAAACGACTTGATAAACAAATCCCCAAGTCCAAGTCCGTCGAAAAAACCTTCAAGTTCGGACTTGGACTTTTTCAACTTTGTCTGTGAAGAATTATATTTCACATCAGTGTATTTTCTTAAAATTCGACGTAAAAATACAGAACAATTGAAGATATGTTTAATTGCAAAATTACGTATGTCTCTAGCAAGTACGCTTCTGCATATACCACTCTAGAAAGTTTATTGACCCTCCTAGAAAAAGTTTCCAGCCCCGTCTATGTTATGTTATCATCATTATCATTTGCTAAATAAAAATTGGGAGTATCGACAAAGAAAGCATTTCTTATTATGTTCATTTGAGTTAATCTAGTGTAACATTACTATTAGAGAAAATCAAATTCATTCTCATTTTGAGTACTCAAACTTACACTTCTGTATCACATCATTTAAACTCTTAGCATTTGACAAAAGGCTGTTGTTTTACAAATTTTCAACTTATCCAGTTCAGCTGTGTTGACTTATAAAAAGAAAAAAGATTATCTTTGAGAAAATTATCAGTGTGAAGACAAACAGTAATGATTGGAACAATCAACGAAGGTGTGCGAAAATATCTGTAGCGAGTCGATCATCTCAATATAGGAGACTTGTAAAAAAAAATGAGTTTCTTGCTGGAAAATGATCTGCAACATCGCCAAATATTTCTATCAAATATACTCGAAATAAGTTTAACATTATATCAATCTTTCTATACAGACTTAACTTTTAATTAATGTGCATGGAGATTGTGGGCGCATAAATGAACATGTTCAAGTAATTAGTGGGTTAACTATTTTAGGTTTCCACGTTGTTTTAATTTTTATTATGCTCTGGAATTCGATGAACAGCAAAGGCTTAAATTAATTCGATCCTACCAAAACTTTTCAAAAATAAAGTCTACTGGGCTTTTCGGAAAAAACCATTTATTGTAGACAATTAATAAATCTCAACTACCTCAAAAACTCATTACGCTATAATAGCTGTCAGACTCCGTATGGACTAGTCTCAGGTCATAGCATAATTCAGTGTAGTCCATGGATTGGACTTTTTTGAAATGATGGACTGGAATTAGATTGGTTTAAAATCAGTGAGTCTTTAGATTAGAATAGAAATATCGTTCGCTGACAAATTGGTTACCTAAGTATTCCAGACAAGGCTCAGGAAAAGAGCTAGCGAGGTATCTCAGGTGCCTTCAAATTGCTGTTCGAATCGTCCACGTCGCAATTAATGACGTATATATGCTATTATCTATTCACAGGATCTCTAGGAGAGTTACCGTCAGAACAAGCTGTTCTTCCTTTTGGCTCGGTTCAGAAAAGTCTATTGGACTGAAAGTGAAAACCTTGTCTGTAAAAGAAAGAGTAGCACATATTGTATATATTACACTTAAAAAGATATGTCGCAAATTGCGACACACTTTTTACGTTGAGGCTGCAACCAGAGTTGGAACCGGTCCGGTAGAAATCGGTATTTCACCGGTTAAAACTTTTGTCCTTTTACCCCGTTTTTCGTCAAAAATTGAAAATTTCACGTCTTTTTCAGTCAGAATAAGTAAGACGATGCTCAAGACAGATATTACTTTCATCACTTGATGTAAGGTTAAATGTTATAGACTCGTTATTGTCAAGGTTCTTTCACATGTGCTCGCAAACTATTTCGGTTCTGAGGGAAATTATTTCTGAAAATCGGTTTTCAAAAAACTTCGCCGGTTTTTCGCCCGTATTTTACCGGTTTTTCACTGGTTTGAGTTATAATTTCAACTGATCAGTTTATCGGCCGGACCGGACCGGTTTATGGTCTCTTAACCGGTTCCAGCACTGGCTGCGACACATCCCGCTGAGAAAACAGTGGAAATTAAGTATTTTTGATTTCTTATTCGATTTTAAGAACATCTTAAGTTTGTTTGAGGTGCACTACGTCCCGTCGACAAGCTCAATCTACCGTAATATTTACAGGCCTTCAAAATATTTAGTTTCCGAGATCTGGGATTAATAGCGTAGTCAAGATCTCGGATTGGTTCTTTTTCGTCAGAGAAAAAAATGTTTAATGTAGAAAAAAGATTTAGACAGATCTTTATCCACGAATAGTACCCCGTAGTTCACTTTCCCTGGAAAAATGTGAAATCTCTCGTGAGTCTCCGGGAAGTAGCTGAAAAATCCCCGGGGAGTCTCCCTTAATAACTGTGAAATCCCCCGAATCTCACTATTGACTCACTCTCACCATTTTGTTTTGCATCTGTACAAGAATTTAAAAAGTACTCCCAGAACTATTATCATTATTATTATTAGTGAAGTCCAGAACTATTATGATCAATAATAGTTAGAAATATTAAAAAGAAGAAAAATGTCAAGCCTTTGTTACAAAAATTAGATATAAATCTAGACAACAACAAATATCGTCTTTATCTAAAGTTCAAAGTCAAACACTAGTAGTCTAAAATCCAGGAGATGTTGTAAGTTTCTGATCGTTTGTTTATCCTGAAGTATGCATATCATGTAATACTTCATTGCTTACTTTAGTCCAAATCTGAGCTGTTGTAAGTGCCAGACAAAAGAGTGCCTTAGGAAGGTCGTGTGGTAGCATCACCATTCGCTTCGTAGTATAACATAATACTCTATAAAAAAAGGGTGCCCTGAAACCTTTTAAGAGACGGTTCGTGTGGCCATCAAAATACATCGTAACATGAAAAAAATTAACATATACTTTTTATGTTCTCATTCGATTCTATGCTGAAAACTGGGGTTATGAAGAAATTTTTTAAGTTCCAGAACCATTTACCGCTGAGTTATAGAATTTTGAAAAAGGTACATTTCGAAAAACCGTCAAAAAGCCACATTTCCAGTATTTTTGATTTGTCTTCCTCATTTTTTGTCCTAAAATTTCATGCTACGTCTCATTTGAAAGAGGAGATGAAACTGCATCGAATAAGGTAGCACTCGGCCTTTTAGACTTGAAACTGAATTTTTAAAATACGAATGACTCGAAAAATTCGTGTTTTCAAAAGAGAATTTTTTTTAGTAAAATCAAATTTTCTCAGCCTCGTTCATAGCTTGCACAATACGCATCCGCCAAGAATTTGATGTTCTAAGAAATGAATTCGCATTCGCTGGGAATTCGTTA